GGCCAGCTACTGGGAAACGGGAGGATTCCGAGGCTACAATACGCCACCTGATCCCCCATAAAAGCCTGGAGAATCATCAGGAATGCCCATCAAGAGCACCGAAGGGCACATGCGCAGAAGAGGCTTCCGTGCACTCTTCCCAAGATCCTCCGCAAGGGGGCTGGATGCCTTTCCCTGACTACGTTTCCCATAAGGCTCCTCGGTGCAGCCCCTATGTGAGGGATTCTTTGAAGAACTTTAGCTTTAATTATGGGGCTTGGTTGCTTGATTGCTATGAACCATTACTAAAAAAAAATTGTCAATGCATTTCACCAAAGACTATAGATGAGAAACAAAGTTTACAGACTGTTAAATGTCCACCAAAATGCTAATGATCCCCCAAATCTTTACATTTCTCCGAAGCCTAGCTTAGGAACACCAAAGCTGTATATCTTATATATATATTTTACTACTGCTTTTCCCACTCAGCATCAGAAAACACGCTGGGGAATAACCCCTAGGAACATTCTAAATGTGAGCTCTCATAGAGGGGCAATCAGAAGAATGTAATCAATACTACAGTAAAGCCGTCGCCGGTTTTGGTAAATGCATCTAGATATTTTCCAATGTATGAAAGTGCTGTAGGATTCAAACATTAACTACCCAAGAATTCGTGGTGAAAGGGAGTCTACCAGTGGGGAGACTGGGGCTTGCCTGGCTCATCGGCGTCTTGGAAGGGGCTGGACTGGAGGGTTGGGTGGGGGCAAGGTGACGGAAGCAAAAAAGGTGCGGAAGATCCATGGGATGGGCACACGGCGAAGATGGTTGTGTTCATATTAGTTTTCTATGACTGCATTACAAATTGGTGTAAGCTTTGTGGCTTAAAACTAGGCAACTATATTCTCTTGTCACTTTTGCAGATTAGGAGTCTGGGCAAGGCGTGGCTGAAATCTTGCTGTGGGTTGAAATCAAGGTGTTTTGGGGCTGCGGCTTCCCTGGTGGTTGGAGTTCTCCTCCAGGCTCACTGGTGGTTGGCAGAACTCAATTCAGTGGTTGTAGGACTGGGGTGGACATTGTCCTGCTTCTGTGTCAACCAGACAGCACCTTGAGCTCCTTATCACATGGCCCCACAGGTCTTCCATTCCCCGGGCATTATTTTGTTCCAGGACACCAAAACCATGTCTAATTTCTTCTTTTGTGAAGACTCTGGTTTTAAAGGACTAACAGGATTAGGTCAGACCCATCTAGATAATCCACCTAGTTTAAAGTCACCTCTTTTGGGGCCTTCATTACACCTGCAGAATCCCTTCACAGCAGTACCTAGATTAGTATTTGATTTTGTAAATAGAGTAGGTGTGTGTAACAGGGGCAGGAACTCCTTAGCCACCTTAGCAGTCTGCCTCCCGGCCGTGTTTCATTACAGGGCTCATCCAAAAACATCAACCACGTGGACAAAACTAGTAGTTTGTGGATGTCTTTGTCCACATCAGTGTGTGTACAGCAAACTCATTCACGAAGTAGCCGTTACAACCAGGGTAGGGGTTATGCATGAGCCCACAGCACCGCGTTGCCTCTTGTCTTGGCTGGTCTCGCTGCTGCTGCTGCTGCTGCTGCTGCTGCTGCTACCGAATGTCTGACTTGTCACCCCAGATATCAACCCTGAGCCCTTGATAAGGTGCCGTTCTGGAAAAGAACAGCAGGCTTCTTGGTAGAAAGTCGACCACTGCAGGCCGCTGGAACTCTGCTTGAAGCAGTGGTTCACCCTTGCCGAAACTGACGAGGACTTGGGAGGCGGGTTTCCTCTGTTGACCACAAGGCACCCATACCTCTCGTCGAGGGCTGACAAGACACCTCATTTCCTGACACGGGACTCTGCGTGAATTACCTCTGACCAAGGCACCCATTTTATAGCACAGGAGGTGTGATGATGGGCACAGGGCCCTGAGATCCCGCCCCAACAAAAAAAACCAAAAAAGAAACTACCCTACCTTTTCTTTCTTACCATTTTTACGTTTTTTACCTCCTTTTTGTTGATTACCCCCCCCCCACCAAACAAATTTTTTTAAACACAAAACCACCCCCCTACATGACATCCGCCTGAACCAGCCGGCCTGATAGAACCATGGTATGCATTAATAAAGACTCAGCTAAGGCAGGACCTTTGGAAAAATTCCCTGAGAATTTTGGGTGCCGTCCACCAGGATGTGAAATACGCTTTAACCCAGTATGGAGTCAATGAAGAGCTGACGGCAGGATTGCCCTCTCTCACTGTCACTCCCATTTACAGAATTTGTGCTGTACTTTTCCACAGCCCTAGATTCTGTTAAGATAGAGATCATGGATCTTGTAGGTACTCCACCGGGAAACACAGTGATCGACAAATGTCCTGGCCTCCAGCCCCCATAGGAAAACAATTCTGGGAACATTCTACATGCTTTTCAGAGGTCCTGGCACAATCAAATCCCTGTCATTTATATCAGTGGCATTAATGACACCCCCTAAGGCTAACTTTTCTCCTTTATCTCATTCTTTGCACTTCCTCACTCCTGCTTCCCAAAATCACCTCCCACATAAACTACCTGCACCCTAATCCTGGTTCCAGCTGTTTTTAGGCAAGATGTTTATTTATAGAAATATGTATACATAGCACAAATGTTCTATAACCCAGGAACTTAATGCATTTCTGCATAACACAGTGGGATGCCATGGTATATGTATTGTGCCCTGCCCTCTCTTGCTGGTGCTTTTTTTCCTCAGCCAGAAAGGGAAGAGGATAAAGATCTGAAGAGGAGATTACAGAACAGACATTCATCATCATTCATTTGCTTTGAAGGAAGAATGGAGAGTTAATACCTAGGTCTTTGCATTCTAATTACTAAACAGATTGTGGTAATTGATTGGTGTTCTGCTTCTCACCTAAGAGTATTTTCATTTCAAAACCCATAGATTCTGCTGAGATTTTTATTCAGGGAGAGCTTCCTTTGAAAGACATTTCAAGAGCATTGGAAGAGGACAGTATTTCTCAAGATGTGCTTTTCAACATACCAGTGACATTTACATGCATACTTTTTCTAAGGATGCTCATGGAGACACAGGTTATAATAGAAAAAAGAAACAACCTAAATGTACCTTGGTCAGGAATAACTCGATAAATTATGGTGCGTACTCACGATGGGAAGCTGTGGCGGTGCTAAGAATGAATAAAGTTATTTATGTAATAAAAAATACCCATGATCTAATCCTAAACGAAATAAAATGAAAGGCCAACAACTAATAAAGCATCATCCTGTCTTTTACCTACTCATGATTAGATAAAGGCATGCACATTTAAATACCTGTGGCTATATAAACTTAGTTGAAATTTAGAAGTGCATGCTCCCAAAGTATTTAGGAGGAAGAGGGACTTCCATTGTGCACCTAAACGATTTTTTTCTATAAATGTGTGGTTTTCCAATTCGCATGTGAAAGATATATAAAATGAAAGAGGACTATAAAGGCATTCCACATCCAGTAATTGAATTTCAAATGTGAGTTTGTAAAGAGAGAGATTAGGATACACACCCAGAGATCCTCAATGAGGTAAGCACTGAAGAAAAGACCGAAATAAAAAATATTAAATAGTACTTACAGGGACAGATTTATAGGTAAATTTTATTGTATTTTATTTTTATTCTTAGCCAAGAAGATTCTTATTGATTTTAGAGAGAGAGGAAGGGAGGGAGAGAGGGGGAGAGAAACATTGATTTGAGAGAAAAACATCCATGAGTTAGTTACCTGTAAACTGAAAGGTCGCGGGTTCAATTCACAGTCAGGGCTCAGACCTAGGTTGTGAGTTGCAGTTGTCAGTTCCTAGGTTGTCAGTCCCAGTCCGGGCACGAATGAGAGGCAGCTGATTGACATTTCTCTCTCACACCGATGTTTCTCTTCCTCTCTCTCTCCCTGCCTTCCCCTCTCTCTAAAATCAATAAGCACGTTCTCAGGTGAGGATGTAAAAAAGGAGGGGGGATACTGCAAGAATGAAGAGGAAAACAGGAGGGTGGGCTCTGAGTTCTATAGCTTTACAGGTCCCCACTTCCAGGGCTCAATACAGGCCAGCACAGAGCACAGGGACTGGTCCCCAATATGATGGTTAGGATAGTCTAGAGGATGCAGCAGGGGGAGGGAGAAGAGAGGGGGAGGGGAGAAGAGAGGAGAAAATGCAGGGTGGGGAAGGGAGGCTGGCAGAGGCAAGCCAGTACTGGGTCATGCAGTTCCCACTGTGGCCAGGAGGTGACAGCATTAACACCCTGGGGGATGAACTTAGTTGTCCTGCAAATGAACAGAACCTATACAATTGCCAGTGTCAGCCACTGGATGATGGTCCTGTAAGTTGCCCATCCTACTCCTGGCCCAGGTGGAGCAGATTCTTCCTGACATGGATGCTGTGAAGCGACAGCCCATTCATTCCTGCCAATGGAAGGGGACGTCTGTCCACGAGGGCTGCAAGAACAAATATCTTGATCTCTTCCTCCCCACTTTGGACAGTCTTGTTAGTGTCCCCGTTGACTGCATCCAGCCAGCGGTCAGAGGGCAAAGGACCCAGGGTGTTAGGACTCACAGACTCACGGAGGTCAGACCCCTGGGAAGGAGGGCAGTTGAAAGGAGGGTGGAGAATTATCTGGAGGGGAAGCAGGAAGTGCCAAGACCACAGAGCAGGGAATTGCGATTTATTATGACTTTGATGGGCAGAGAGTTGCCAGTTAAAGCGCAGTTAACCAGTTCAATCTGAATTTCAGGTAGACAACCAATATGAGCGCAGTCTAAGTATGATTAGTATAAGGACAGTATGTCCCAAGGACACTAACCCCATGTAGGTTGTTTATCTAAAATGCACACTGAACCTGGAGGCCTGTATTTTCCTTGGCTAAACCCAATGGGCCCACATGGGAGGCCCCTAAAGGAATTTAAAGCAAAGGGGCAACTTAGTTCTAATTTAGGATTTAATAAATACATTTATTTACAAAATCAAGACCACTTTAGATTACTATCAAGTTCAGATGATTTGGGGGCATATAAATAAGTTCCAGGAGCATTTAGACACATTCATAAGGCAAAGTTGCCACCGACCGGGTAAAGCAGTTGATGCAGGTGAGAGCCTGGCCGGACCCCCACCTGGCCAGGGTGAGGGGTGGGGCTGAACCATCTCTGCACTTCCTTGCCTTCCCCTTGGCATAGTCCTTCTCTGTTGGTGGAGGCCTTTCATGGCCCAAATTTCATTCTGTCCTTACCGCATTTCCATGTGGAAAGTAGATCACACCATTGTCATTATGCAGCTGCAGAAACTGAGGCTCAGATAGGTGCAGCAACCTACCCAAGGTCACACAGGGAGGAAGCAGAAGGGCCAAGGCTACAACTGAGGTTCGTGCAACTCCAAAGATCTTCCCTCTCTTCTGCAAGCTTGTCTGTTTTTCCACGTGTCCACTATGCAGTAGGCCTGTGTGTCCTGCCCTGCTTGCGGGCAGAACCAGGTGCGGGGGTCAGGAAGGAGTCCGCAGGAGCGGCTGCTGGTCTCGGTTCCGGTTGCAGCTCCTCTGGAGCCGGGCATAAAGGTGGCGGACTCTCCTTGCCTCCTGCGCGCTGAAGAAGGAAGCTGCGATGGTGTGTCGCAACCTACGGGCGTAGGTCTCCAGCAGGACTGTGGAACAAGCCACGAGTTGCAGGACCCCCGCGGCCAGCGGGGCTGAGGTGTGGGGGCGCTGGGCAGGCAGCAGAGGGCAGCTGCGGGAGGTGAAACGGAGCTCCCACTGGAAGGAGTTGTGGGCTGACAGGAAGGGGCTCTCCTGAGGCGGCTGGTTGAAGAGGAAGGGGATGAAGCCCAGGACGGTGTATGCAGCCTTTACAAAGGACAAAAAGGCCAAGTCAACCCACACGCTCTCCCGCTATTCCCTGTCCCCCACCGCTATTCCCTGTCCCCCACCACTTCCCTTGCGGGGCTGGGTCAGCCTTCCCTGCCCTCATCCGCAGCAGGGACGCAGGAGTCATGATTGCCTTCTGGGGTTCGAGGATGGATCATAGGATCAGGAGTCTGAGACAGGCTTTTTGCCAAAGGAAAAACACCGTGCAAATGCTATTTTTATTACGACTCTCTTTGAAGAGTAAGTTTATCTTTCTCTCCAAATAATTCACTCTTTAAAGAATAGTTTTTATTATTGCTCCCCTTTAGAAGAAAACAAATTCATGTTTCTGGGGCGTGAACCCTTTGTTGAGCCCGCAGTGGCCGAACACTCCCAATGTCTTTGCCGTCAGATTCGCACCCGCCTACGAGGTCCAGCCCAGCCTGAGCCTCATTTGAAAGATGGGGACCCTGAGCTCATGCAGTGGGTGCACGTTCCAGGGGCAGCCCCAGCCAGGGCGGGTCCTAACATCCTCTCATAAGCATCAGGTTCTACACTTTCCATGAGTTAGGATGGAGGGAGGAAGAATGGTGCCTACACGGAGGTCAGAAGTTAACCCTTTGAACTTGGGAGTCAGACTTCCTGGGTCGGATCCTGGCTTGGCCCAGAGCCCATTTCCCTATCGGGCTCCGTGCTGGGCCCCGCAGTGCTTTCAGGGGCCTATGAAAATGTTTCATTTTCTTTTCAAATCAGGATTTAAAATTAACTTTTCAGTTGAAGAACGTGTTTCACTATATACTATTAATACACATTTGCGTTCATCCCAGTGACGTCATTGCTATTTTTAATGGGGGAAGGAGCTCCTGCAAGCGGATGTGCCGAGGCCACACCGAAGTCCCAGCGCAGCCCTCGTTCCGCCGCTTACGGGCTGGGTGACTGTGGGCAAGATTCCTAACTTCCCTGAGCCTCCGTGTCTTCCTCGGTAAAGTAGCGATGCTAGCAGTTCCTCTCTGGCAGAGTCACAGGGACAATGAAATGAGCTGTCTTATTTCATCACTTCTGGGTTCACATCTTTTACCCCCACATTTGGACTTTTAGATCAAAAAGTGTCTTCCAATCAAAAGGACTCATAACTGCTTTCTGCGCTCATGCCCGTCCCTGCTCTCTAAGAGGGTCGGCGTGCCAGCATCCAACTGCAGAGCGGGTGTCTGCAGCTTGGAAGAAAATGCTGGAAACGAGGGTGGAGCCTCAGCTGTGCGCGCGAGGGCACAGCAAACAGGGTGGCGTGAGAGGCAGCGAAAGCAACCGGCTCAGCCAGAGTCATTCAGAAAAGTCAGGCTTGAGCGGGAGGGCGTTTTAGGAAAACCACCAAAATGACTTCACTGTGTTTCTTGCTTTCTCTACATCAAAAAGTATGATGAAATAAAGCCCTGGTTAAAAATAAGTGTTAAAAATAAGTGAACGAGTTTACATGGATGTAATTGAAAATCTGAACGGTGAGAAGGCATCGGGCAATGGCTTCATTGGAAGCATTTTCTTTCCCGGTGACACCTGAAATGATGGTGTGGCTTGTGATCAACGGCCTCGTCCACATGGGGAAATACAATGCAACAGACAACTCACTGAGGACGTTGCCCGGCATTTCCTTATCGTAACCCGCAGCGTTTCATAGTATCTTCCAAGCATGAATTGCATTGTGGTTGAAGAAAAATTTTGTAAGGCAGTACATACCCTTATTACCTAGAATGTCCTCTCCTACATTTCTAGTCCATTCTATTTCATTAAAAAATAATGACCATGACCCCTAAATTGATTAAATTCATTTCATGCAGTTCGAAGAACACTTTCTTGCATTAAATAAGTACTCAATACATGTTAGCTATTAATATCACTAGCTCAGGGTCTGATACTTTGGTATGTGGCATGTGATGGATCTTTGTGTGTGATCTCACCATAAAAATAAAACATAAAGATCTTATGGCGGAAGGAGTTCATGAACGTGAACTAGCCCGCGAGCGTCGCAGTGCAGCTTGGCTCTGCCAGGCACAGTGAGGCTGGATAACTGTGGGCCAGCACCCTAACTTCTTTGAGCCTCTGTGTTTTCATCACTAAAGTGGCCGAAGAAGAGACTGAAAAACCACAACTCTTGATGCGATAGTAAATATCTAAGAGTAATTCGATAGTAAATATTTTATATATAACTATTAAAATAGTAAGTAATTTCGGCTTTGCTGACCTTGCAGTCTCTGTTGCTACAGCTCACATTTGCCTTTGGAGAACTGTGTTCCAATAAAACTTAATTTACAAAATAGGAAGCTGGCAAGATTTGGCCTCTGGGCCGTACCTGGTGGGCTCCTGATCTAGGCCCTTCCTGAGCCCTGGTATGCACAGTCTGATAGTCACAGATGTGACCTATTAATAATGGCCAATGATTATTAAACATCTCCTGTGGGTCACGGTGCTTACTAGGTGCTTCCAGAGACGATCCCATTGAAAGCTCCCATAACCTTGTAGGGAAAGGAGGACAGATCCAATCTGTATAATAAGAAACAGGGGGCTAGGACCTGCTGCCACATCCCTGGGTATCAGTACTTTCACCTGCAGTGGGGTCAACACAGAGCCCACTGTGCCTGGTCAGAGTGGGAATTAAGTTCATCCGATGGTGCCCCAGGGTCTCAGTCCTTCCCAGGGCTATGACTTGAAGGTAAGTAAAATTCAATCGCAGGCCAAGGATTTGACAAATTCTACCCCTTCCCTCAAGGAAATGACTCTATACCTGCCTTCCCATCACCACACTTACATCATACTTGACCTTGAGTGTAACGGGCACAGAAGGCAGCTTCTGAGCCCAGTCCACGGTGGCCTGTGCCAGGAGGAAGGTCACGTGGTCGGTGGCCACTGTCACAGCTGTGGCCAGCAGGAGCAGGGTGAGTGGCCCCAGCCTCAGTAGACAGCTCAGCAGCTCCCCTTGGGACAGCCTTGGCCAAGCTGCCCGAAGCAGCCAGGCTGGTGGAGACGCCAGCAGGTGTGTGGCTCGGGCCTCTTCCAGCTGCTGGGCCAGCTGCCATGTAGCATAGACATTATCAAACTGCAGGTCAGTCAGGTAGCAATGGAGATATCGGGCTGAGTCCACCAGGAGGCCAAGCATGACGAGCCCTGTGACTACCCTCTGGGTCCCCAGTGCTGCTGCCCGGACCAGGGACTCCAGGCCAGAGAAGTCCTCCAGGACCTGCTGAGTGACCTGGAGCATATGAAGCCGGAAGACAGAGCCATTGCCCTGGGCCTGGAGTGTCAGGCCTTGGCCAGTGGGACTCAGAGTCCTGGACGCTGCGTGCAGCTGGTGTGTGGTGTTGAGCAGACTCTCCAGGGAGCCCTCAGTGACACACCTCAGCACCTGTCCAGCTGCGCCCACATTGGCCAAGATGTTGGGCACCACGGTGACAGCCAGGGTGGCAGTGCTCCAGGACAGGAGCAGACGGCGGCCCTGCTCTGTGCCCAGGGTGGGCACACTGAGGGCAAACAGGCAGCGAGCCGGAGGCACCAGGCCCAGCCCCAGGAAGACCAGGAGGCCACCGACAGTGGACACCATGGCCGAGGGTCCCAGAGGATAAAGCAGCAAGGACACTAGCCATTGGTGGGCCAGACCTGCAGCCGCGGCAGCCAGGGAACCACATAGGAGGAGCTGAGTCAACAGCTGGCCACAGCTGGTTGGGACAGGCTGAGAGAAGGCAACCCAGGCAGCCTGAAGTGGGACAAGGGCCTTGGAGAGTCCCAAGTGCCAGAATCTGCACCTGTACACACAAAAATTGGGGAACCTCTGTCAGGAGGGTGGGGAGTTTGGTGTCTGCCCCGTGTCCCTGCCCCACAAACCCTTCATCTGCTAGCAGGCTCCACCCCATTAGCCGCAGGAGTGGGCACTCTTCCCAGGTGGGCCAATCAGAATAATCCACCTCAAACCCACATGATCTGAGCTGAACCAATCAGAGCCTTCCCCAGGATTATTCTCACTGGAGTTGTCAGGGAAAAGTCCAGTTTCCACACAGTTCTCAGGAAGATGTGAGAATGAATGTTGGAGCTGCCTGTGTCCATAATTCCAATTTTGCAAGGCCAACTGGCCCAAGGGGATGAAATAGTCATGAAGAGAGAAGCGCAGATGAAAGAGAGAACTAAAGACACTGTTTCACTGTTCACTCTGTATAGCACTGAGCATTTCTTCCTTGTGGACTTAAATGTCTCCTCTACAATTTTGAAGGGAGGGCGAAGAGAAGGGAAGAGTGGATTAGTTTACCTCTGAGAAACTTTTCTACTTTATTTTCCTTATAGTTATTTATTCAACAAATATTTATTAAGCAACTACTATGTGCCAGCCACTGGAGAAACCAGAATGAATGAATAGACAAGAATCCTCACCCTTCTAGAACATATACTCATGACAGCAGAGAAATGGAAAGAAGAGGTTGGATTCTGGATACATGTTCCTGGAAGAGACAAAAGGCTGACAGACTGGCTGGCTGTGGGTGTGAGACAAATGCGGCCAGGAGATTTGGTGGCCTGAGCAACTGGAAGCATCGGGGGGTTGTTTCCCGAGGCAGAAAAGTCTGTGGTTAAAGCAGGTTTGAGTGGAGTGGGGAGAGGAGGAATGCAGGTGAAAGGCTTACATCTGAGTTGCCAGTTCAGCCATTCAATGGAGATGTTGGGTATGTGGTTGGAAACATGAGTTGGGGACTCAGAGCAGAGATCGGACTAGAGATACAATGTTGGGTGTTGCTGGTTTATGGATGGTGTCTAAAGTCAGGGGCAGGATGAGATTCCTCAAGTCGTTTGCTGGTGAGGATGAGAGAGATCCGAGCACTGAGCCCTTGTGTTCCAGGGCTAGCAGAATGAGTGAAGGAGACCGAGAAACAAGCCATGGGGTGTTTGAACAGCCTCATAAATACAATGTTTCCAGATGAAGGAAGCGATCAACTCTGTCAAATGCTGCTGATGGGTCAGGAAAATGCAGTAGCCAGTGGGCGAACTGGCCACTGGGTGACCAAGAGAGTTCATTTAAGATGGATCGATTCTGGCTGGTTTGTAGATGGGAGATCCAACCAAGAGGGGGGACACTGGTGAAGGGGAGGCTTCTTGCAGTGACCTCCTCATGGGTGGCAGAGGTCAGACCAAGAACACAAAACGTGGGGCTGCTCTTAGAAAGCAGCAGGGGCCATTCACTCTTAACAGCAGGTGGGAAGGCAGAGGAAATGGGTACAGGGGACGGTGAGTGGACAGGCAAAGGGGGCAATTACAGATCAGTATCATCAGATGTACAGGGAACACAGCAGTGGTTAAAGGCACGACTCCAGACTGCCTGCGTTCAAATCCCACTTTACCACTCACCGTCAGTGTGATCTCGGCTGGGTTTCATAACCTCTCTGTGCCTCAGTTTTCTCATCTGTAAAATGGTGCAATAAAAGTAGTATCTCCTAGGGTCATTTTGTGTCTGGGAAATTGTGTCATGTCAGCTGTGATCTGTTACTAAAGCAGCCACCAGGCAGGGACTTGGTCTCTGATCACTGACATGTCCAGAGTGCCCAGAACAGTGTCTGGCGTGTAGTGGCTGCTTCATACAGAGTTGTGGCTGTGGCGTGTCTGCTTCTGTTTGCTCGGGGGAGCAGGAAGCGTCAGCACTGATGGTGGGGATGCTGGAGGAGTCGATGGCAGCCTTCGGTTAAAGGAGGAGATATAACGTAGGTGTCCAGGAGAGTGGGAAAGGAAACGGACTAGGGAAATGATCCACACGTGGGCGGCAAGGAGCACTCCCCTGAGGCTGGAGATCATGAATTAGGGCCTTCCCAGGCCCTGAAGTCATTTTGACTTGTGGCTAGACACCCCTCCTACGGTATAATTAGTGTTGGAAACCTGGTAGCTGTGAAATACAAGCCACTGTAAACACTATGGGAAAGGAAAGCCAGTTCTAAGTCCCATCGGGTGCCAAGGCCTGTGTGAAGGGTTGGCCATGAGACTTCCAGCTGCCGTTACTGGGCGCTCCCTCCGAGCCACATACCGCAGCAGCAAGCCCTCTGTGTGCCTTTTCTCCTTCAGTTCCCACGCCAGCCTGGTAGACCGCGTTCTCACTCGAGTTTCCCAGATGGGGAAACCGAGGCTCAAGGCGGTGAGGATTTACCCAGTCCTGCTGCCAGGGAATGGCTCAGCCGAGACCTAGACTCATTCCCAGAGGCCTGACTGTTCTCTTGTCTGTGGCCCCCGTGCCCAAGGTCCCCAGACCTACCCGGTCCTGACGAGGTGCTCAGCTGTCCCCCAGAGAGTCCTCATGCCTCCCGAATAGCAGAGGAGCCAGCCAGGCGGCCTTAGGCAGCAATGACAGGTGGAGAGGAAGTGGGAGGAACTGAGTCCTCCAGCGCTCGGGGAGCCCTGTCACTTCTGCTTTTCTGCCCTTGATTAAGTCCTCCTGGTCTCCTTGTCCCGCCCCGTGGGGCCCACCTCCTAGTGGGCTGGGCAGGCTGCCTCCTCCTCTCCAGTCAGGCAGGCGTGGGTAGGAGGTGTGGGAGGAGAGTAAGAGCCTTTTCCAAGCAACAGCTCTAGTCCTGATGACGGGAAGGTGGCATTAGCCCCATTTCACAGAGGAGGAAACTGAGGCTCGGGGAAGCCATCCGGCTCCCTGGTGGTAGGGTAGTGCTGGGAGTAGAAATCTGCTCAGCTTCCTCTTTCCCTCCCCGTCCATAGTTACGTGCCCTAACTCTTAGGGGGTGGGGACCCAAGGGAGACCCCTGGATTTCTGCCAAGGTTCTTCTCCAACCATCAGTGGCTCTGGTCTTTCTCTCCAACTCCCTTCCTATCTTCAGACCAATGGGGACCTGGCTTCAAAGCACAGCTGCGTCCCTCCCAGGCTGTGTGGCCTTGAGCAGGCCACCTCATCTCTCTCAGTCTCACCTTCCTCCTCTTAAAAGATAGTGATGATAACGGTTAACCTTTACTGAGCACTTGCTTTGCACCAGACATGTTTCTATGCAAATTCATTGAGTCCTTACATCAAATGACCCTTTGTGGTAGGGACTGTTGTGATTGCCATTCTCTGTTGCAAAAAAATGGAGACTCAGAGAGTTAAGTCCCTTCACCAAGCCACTGAGCCAGTGCGAGGCAGAGCCGTGATTTACATCCAGCAGTCCTGCCCCACGGCCAGCTGGTCAGCCCCCGTGCTCTGCCGGGTGGAGGCGAGTCCCAGGACTCCCGAGGACCTTGTGGTGCTTCTGGCACTGCAAACAGTAGGTGCTCAATAAATGTGCATTTCCTGTATGCACTTGGCAGCAGTCATTGCCATAGGTACACTTGCAGCTGTCCTCTCCCAGCACCTGTGTGCCCTGGCACTACCTATAGGACAGCCTCCTTAGGAGGTCCCCACCCTGCCAGAGGGGGCCAGTCAGGGTTGACCCTTACGTGGCATTCTTCCCTTATAAGGACTCATTGCCTGGGTTGCTTGCTTGGGCCTGGAGGAGGATGTCCTGTGACCCAGATAGGAGAAGTGACACAGTTGAATGAGACCCATGTGGCCCTCAGAGAGCCTACCACCCTCCCCAGGTCGCAAGCCGCTCCAGGAAGGTGAGCCAGGCACCAAGCGCAGGCAGAGAACTGGGCACTCAGTGCACCAGTAACCTCGTGTGCCCACAGGGCTGGCTAGCCAAGGTCAGGAGCACAGCGGTCCAGGTGGAAACGGCTGTGCCCAGCCATGACGCCTTCACAAAGGGCAGCTTCTAATCTGCTCCCACCAAGGCGGAGAGCCCTTGAAAATGAGGCCTAGCATTACCAGATTTTCCACCCACCGTGTGTGCTGTGTGATCTTGGGCGACACACCATCCCTCTCTGAACTTGCGTGGACACTGCTATAATGAGAATACCGGCACCTGCTTCTCAGGGTTGCTTGAGGGTTCCCTGAAATATGGTATGCAGAGTGCCCGGTAAACAATAGATAAACGCTCCTGCCTGCCCCCTCTCACCCGGCTGACGGCTGTGCCTGAGCGTGTCCCGGGCAGCTCAGACCTAGGTGTACAGGCCTCTGGGATGCCCTGACCAGGCTCCGCTCACACAGGACACTTCAGGGCGCTGTGCTGGTCAGAGAGGAGCAGTCCTGGAAGACACCGGCACTGCCCAGCTTCTGCGCTGGCCCCAGGCAGCTGACCGGGGAAGGCCCATGTGGGTCCTTTCCTGACGGTCTCTGGTGGGTGTGCGAGATTGGGAAGAGGGGGAAACACAGGGAGGAAAGGGGTGGAAGATATTTTTGACTTTTCTCAGCATATGTAGGCGGTCACTTCTGCCTATATAAGGCTGACTTGATTCCAAGGCCCACAACGCCCGGAAGGGGCTTCTGAATCACCAGAACAGAATCAGCTTTGTTGTGGGGGAGGTTTCTGGGTAGAGGATTCAGAGCCATAAGACAGGACCGGAAGAGGAAGTGGTCAACCCTCAGATCTCGAATCAGAATCAGAGGTATATATAGTATGAGAGTCATTGAATTTTACAGCCTGTGGGTGTAAAAGAATGTTACTGCCCTGCAGTTGGTTGGAGATTATGGAGACGCGGCTGGTATCTCCCCAAACAGACAGTGCTGTCCAATAGAAACAGAATGGGAGCCACGTGTGTAATTTTATTTTTTTCTAGCAGCCACCTACAAAGTGAAATTAATTTTAATAACAGACTTTACTCAACCTAATACATGCAGAATAGTATCCTTCAAACATGCAACCAATAGAAAAATTATTAATGGGGTAGTTTACATTCACTTTTGTCGTACTGTTATTAAAGTTTGGTGTATGTTTTTTGGTCTTTTTTTTTTTTAGATTTTATTCATTTATCTTTAGAGGGGAAGGGAAACAAACATCAATGTATGGTTGCCTCCCATGCATTCCCCACTGGAAACTGGCCTGCAACCCAAGCCTGTGCCCTGACTGGGAATCGACTGCATCATAGGCCCATGTTCAATCCACCGAGCTACACCAGCCAGGGCAAATGTTTTATACTTGTGGCCCCTCTGAATTCCAACTAGGTGCATTGCAGTTGCAAGTGGCTACTGTATTGTACAAGGCAGATGCAGACGATTTCCGTCGCCATGGAAAGTTCTGCCATGACTGCTGCTCCGGGGCATCAGAACCTGCAACTACTGAAGCTGAAATGGACCTTCTGGATCACGTTGCTTAGGAGTCAGAGATTCAATGCCTTCAGAAGCCAGGAAGGTGACAGAGTCAAATGAAGAGAGCCAGTGTAACACATTAAGGAGTGGTGGGGACTGTGGCAAACAAGAGGTTCTCCCTCCAAACAATTGTTGTCAGACAGCAATGAAGTCGCATATTGCCAGATCTTTTGGTATTTTCTTTTCCAAGAGAAACATAAATTCACGCTTTAATGTGAAATCTTCTGAACTTAAAATACTAGCAATAAATGAATAGTTTAAAACTTATGGAAGGCAGGGGAGGCGGAACCTGACTGTGGGCTGGAGGTGGTCCTGGGGACCACTACTTTGCAAGCTCTGATAGGGTCTCGACCTTCTGTGCCACGTTTTCTCAGTTTGCCCCTCCAGACCCAGCCATCCCTCGCTCTTCCCTGCCTTGTGCCACCAGAAGTAGACCTGGATGGGCTGCAGCGAAGGATTCTCTTACATTTTAGCTTCTGTTGGTGTGATGGTTCATTTTATGCATCACCTTGGCCAGGCCCAGGCATGTGGTCAAACATGATTCTGGATGTTTCTGTGAGAGTGTATTTGGATGAGATTTAAATTTCAACCAATGGAGTTTAAGTGAAGCAGATTGCTCTCCAAAATGTGGTGGGCCTCGTGTCATCAGTCGAAGGCCTGAAGAGACCAACAGACTGCCTTCCCGAGTGAGAGAGAATTCTGCCAGCAGGCCGCTTTTGGACAATTTCCTGGGCATCCATACATTCACACACATCCCCCTGGTTCTGTTTCTCTGGAGAACTCTGACTACTACAGTTGGGGTCGGCCAGCGGGGTGCCCCAGCAGAAAAGCTGAGGAAGGGAGAAGAGGAAGATCGGGGCATCTCTTTCCCTGTGGAGTCCTCCAGAGTGGATGCGCCCTGGGACCAAAGATGCCGGCCCCAGCGAGGCCTCTGTCCCAGACCTCAGGCCGGGGCTGCTTCTTCATGACGCGCCCCTCCCTGCTACCTCTGGGGCCCAGCCTTCCCTGGTTGTTCCTCAGTCCTCCGCCCACACCTTGTAACCAGACCTTTTGATAAATTGTCCTCAAATCAGCTGGTTCATGTGCTTATTAGCTGCCTTTGAGACCCTGACTACGCGTTCTCAGCTCTCGGAGGCAGAAACCAAAGTGCGAAATGGTATAGGGCCTCTTCGGGTCCTAAGCACATCGGGGGTGAAGCCGACTGCGACCCGGCTCCCTGAAGTCCCCACTCAGGGACTTTGACACCCATTTTTCTCATTGACCATCAGCGCTTCTGTTCCGCTGCCCACTGACCTACACAAAGTTTTTTGATAGCGGGCAAAAGTAGGTTGGCAGTTGTGAGTACGCGAAACACAGCTTATTCTCCCATCGAGTGCGTTAATGGTTGTGTTATTTTCCATGTGAACAGCTGCCGACCGACTTCTGCCCCGGCCTGTGTGCGCCGGAATACACGTCCGTCAGACCCCTCCCCGGGCCTGCTGTTCACCGCTCCCGGAAGCCGTATTTCTCACCCTGTGCCGCCTCCACATTTCATTTAAATAGTGCCACCAGGAATGGTCACCCAGGTGGCCTCCAGCTCAATGGCCCCTCAAACAACAGTGGCACAAACGTCCCCTGATGGGGGCCTCCAACCTGTTGGTGCCTCTGGGCCACACTGGAAGAGTTGCCTTGGGCCACACATTAAATACACAAACACTAATGAAAACTGATGAGTGGGAAAAAAAAGTTTTAAAGTAAATTTACGATTTTGTGTTGGGCCACGTTCATAGCCAACCTGGGCTGCATCCGGCCTGCAGGCTGTGGGCTGGACTCCCCTGGATCTCCGTAGGGACCGTTTTGCTGGGCCGTAAACCCAGGAACAGGGCGACGGGGTACAGGGAATGCAGACAACACCCCCTCGGCTGCTTGCTGGGCTCACAGGAACAGTTCGGCGTCTCCCCAGCAGGACGCGAGGGTTTCTGTTTTCTCCCATCTCAGCCCGCGCATTGCCCGCTGTTCCAGGGTCGGCCAGTCTGACTGGATGGACGTGCATTCACGTGACTACAAGTGGATTTGAGCATTTCTTTATTAACTTGCTGGCTACCTAGATGTTCTTTTTCAGAACGGCAGATTTATATCTTTCGCTCGATTTTCTCTTGGGTGTTATGGCTGAAGGCTCCCAAAGGTGACGCTAACCCTCTCCTCCACTGTACGTGGATGCCACTCCTCCCACATACAGTCTGAAGGGCGGAGTCTATTTCCTGCCCTTGAACCAGGACAACTCGTGATCTGCTTTGAGCAATTGAATATGGAAGAATGGATGTCCTTGGACTCCCAAGTCCAGACCCAAAGGAGCCTTGTAGCTTTTGCTTTTGCCTTCCTGGAAGCCTGCTGTCATGTAAAGAGGTCCAGGCTGGACTCCTGGAAAAGCCACATTACCCTGGAGGGCCCACAGCCATCGCGGACATTCCGGCTCCAGCCACACTCCCAGCTAAGTGGCCCTGACCACGGCATGTGAAGCGGAGACGAAACCATCCCTGTAGAACTCTCTCCAAAGGCAGAAACCTGAGCCAATAAATTGTTGCCTTTTAAGGCCCTGATTATAAAGGTGATTTGTAATGTAACCGCAGGTCACCGAAACAGGTGTTTTGTTTTGGTTTTGTTTCTCCCTGTTTCCTCTTATATTCTAGATACGAGTCCCTGGTATGTTTCCAATGACCCGGCACCACCCTGGCCATCCCCCATCTTCCCATGCACCATGAGCACAAGGCTGACTCCTTTGGCCTCAGCCCAGTGCCGCCTCCCCAGAGAAGTCCTCCCTAATTGCTCCGGCTGAAGTAGTCTCTGAACCAGTTTGTCACGTTGGCCAGTTTCATTTTCTGCTTAGCCCAGATCATGACCTAGAAACACTTTGTTTACTTATCTGCCTGACTCCTCCCCTAGAATGCAAGTGCCATGTGGTGTGGGACAGCGAATGAGCACAGGAGAAATAAACATTGTCCAATGAACAGATAGAAGAAGCAGGAGCCAAGAATTGAACCAAATAGACCCCAAATCAGAGGGGGCGATTGCTTTCCCATTGATTCTGGTATAGGTTCATTTACCAAATATTATCTACTGAGCACCTAGTATGTGTCAGAAACTGTCCTCAGCACTGGAGTTACAGCACTGAGCAAAATAAAGTTTATATTCTCATAAGTTTATATTTTAGAGAGAGAGAGACATTTAGTAAATAAGAAAATAAACACCACCATGTCCTGACTAAATACAAAGAAAAATACAGAAGTATAACAGGATGGGGAGTAATGAGGATGATATTTTAGACCAGATGGTTAGAGGAGGAGCATCTCTGGGAGGTGTCATTTGGGCAGAGACCTGCAGAAAAGGGGGAAGTGAGCTTATGTGCAGGAGCAAAGTGCTCTGGGCAGCGGGAACAGCACGTGCAAAGGCCCTGATGCAGAAGAGTTTACCTGGCCGGAGTAGAACAGAGAGGGGAGAGCAGTAAGGAAGGTCACTTTCTTAGGGAAGTGACCTCTCAGGGGGGTCAGTTCTGTGGATTCCTGACGCAGCTCAGGAACTTGGGGCTTTGATGCTCTTTTACATCCCAAAGATAAAAATTCTCCAGCACCAGTGTCGATTCACATTCTTTACTTTATAGCATTTTCGATCAGAAGTATTTGAAATCGTGCTTCATCTGGTTACAAGTACCACGGGTTTCTCTGTGAATGCATGTCTTCCCGCCCCTGCTGCACGGGAGTGCGCCTCCCCCACCCCCCAGGGGCTGTGACTGTGACTAAGTACTGAAGGTCTACTCCTGCGGGAAGGGGGTGCACTCATTCTCTAGCTCAGGGGCCTCTCCTCCAGCCTCCCCTCTGCTTCCAGGGAAACACCCATGACTCACTCCTGCTGAACAGAGGATGGGCTCAGTGTCTGGGAACTGCTTCCCCAGCCCAGGCAGCTGCTCAGGGAGCCTCATTCCTCACAGGTGCGGGGTGAGGAGAGGAGAGGCGAGGCGTGCGGGTGGTGCTGATGCTGGACCACGAATTCATTCCACAGACACGGCCGGAGCATCCGCCGGGCCTGGTACTGTGCAGCCCACTGGAGATGCCCAGAGGTTTCCACTGGAAACCAGAGTGATCAAATCCCCTAGGAGAGCCCCCACCGGCCACTGACTCACGGAAAGTCCCAGGGTACCCCTCTGTAGAGGGGGATTATGGGATTTGCCTGCCCGAGACATTGTAGCAGCTCTTTTCAAGACTCTGGTTTACCTTTTGACTTTTCTCTCACCCCCGAAAAAAATGCGGCCTTTGCTAACCAAACATGCTCACCACTCGGGGCAGCTTGGGGAGGTAATGACCAGCTGATAAGCACACAGCAGCCACAAAGGCCGTGTGGGTCACACGCAGCAGGGGCCTGGCTGGAGGGGCCCGACTCCAGAATCACGGACAAACTGAATCAGATTAAACAGGAGAATCCTAAAAGCTTGAATAAAGATGTCAGTGGGGGGTTTCTAGAACTCCCCTGGTGCGCTTGGGAACCAGAGAGACAGCAAGGAGGCTTTGCACGGTCTCCTTGTCCTCAGGAAGTCACCTGTCCCTCCCCGTGTCTCCGCAGACTGAAAATTCCCTTACCCGCCAGGTGTCAGCAGGCAAATGGTCAAACAATCGGTGCAGAACGGGCACCAGCTGAACAGAACAGGCATCGGCGGTGGCGAGCAGCTGGAATGAGTGGAGCGGAAGGAACATCACCAGCCGCCCAAAAACCTCTCTGGGGCAGGTGACCCCTGAAGGCAGGATGGCCCCTCAGGAGTGCAACCTACAGAAGCCAGTGGGGAATGTTAGCTGGGCCCCGGGGATGGACTCCCCGTCCCAACTGTTAGGGACAAATGCCGTCCTGGAGTTGCTTATTGTCGCTGAAGTTGGGCTCTCTTGCACCCCGGCCACATGCTGGCTTGGAGATAAAGGAGCTTGTTTCTCAGGAAGCAGGTTTGTGAAATATCTGGGCCCTGAACTGCACGAGAGAGGAGGAGGAGTCCTAGATAATGAACCTGTTGACCCGAGCGGGGCCCTCGAGGTCACCCTTCCTTGCTGCTTACTGGATCACAGAGTGCCTCTGGACCGTCCTGTCTGGTCCTAACAGCAGGTGACGACGGCAGAGCCTTCTGGGAGGGCCCGGGCCAAAGAGACGCTCCAGGGAGGACTCAGACGGTCCCCAGTGTGCCGTTGGCCACAGATGTGGTGGGCAGTGCCGTGACATTGGCTAAGTGGTTGTGGGCCCAGTCTGGGAAGGTGCCCAGCTGGAAGATGGTCTGTGCCCAGGTGTTGATGGCCACGTTGAGCAGCAGGACGCCCAGCAGGTTCATCAGGAAGCCAGTCCGCACCTAAAACAGAGCGCAGGCTCGAGACCCCACCTGTGGATGGAAAGCCACCCACCAGAGTCCTTCACCCGAACCCAGCTCGGCGGACACCCACTTCCACCTTCATACCACCCCAGGCTGTCGCTCAAGAGCTGCAAACGTCACCATTCAGTGAGTGGTTTCCAGCTGCCAGGCACTGCGCCTTGCGGCTGTCATAGGGCCGCTTAAACCCGAGAGTAAGCCCACAAGGGCTGTTATTGTTGTCGTTCTCATTCTACAACAGAGGAGCTGGCTTATGCGAAGCCACACAACTCGGAAGCAATCTGACGGGACCCTCCAACAACCTCCCCCCTGCCCTCCACCACACAGCGTGTCCAGTGAAGGCTGCACTAGTTGACTGGGAAGGCTTTGACCTCTGGAAATTTTTACCTCTTAAGTAGCTGGAAAGACCTGCCCACCTGCCCCCTGCCCAGGCTGACCTCACGTACTATACCATCGAATGTGGGCTGAACACCCTTTTCCCAGCTTGCTTTTCTGATTGGTCCACCCTGGCTTTCCAGCGTGGACCTCACGGTGAGAAAGTGACTCCCCTTTCAATTGCTGTTCAAACCCTGTCCTCGAAGAGCGAGTCTCCCTTAGGTGCTGCCACTGTGCCCTGGATGCTTCCTTCCTCCTCTCCAACTGCCCTCTTGAACAAGTAGGGGTCCAGAACCTTCTCCGGGCGACTGTCATCGGAGAGAACGTCAGTATTTTGCTCCCTTTTCCCCCTTTGCATTTATTTTTAGACTTGCCTTCAATGACATGCAGTACTGGTTTTCCACTTACATGTGCATCGCTAACTTTTCTTTTTAAATACTCTTAAGTTTTTTTTTTTTTTTTAAATGCAAGTTGGTTTAGCAAAACTGTGAAAAGAATATTACCCCAGGGGCTCATGGGAAGGGTATGTCGTCCACCGTGAAGGAAGGAGGGCACTTGGCAAGGTCGGAAGCTGCCTGATGCTGCCTCTGAGCTGGGGGCTCTTAAAGCCCCTGGCAAGTCTGGGGGACTGGAAGGAGCCCGGCCCACGCTTCGGAGGAACTGGGGGAAGGCTGGCTCTTCCTTTGCCAGGCCCTCGGGAGCCTGACTCAAAATGCCTGCTCGGTTCCACCTTATTAGTCACTTAGTCACTTAACAGCCTCGGGTTACACTGTTTGCTCCGGGATCTCTTTCTCCCTCTGGTTGTCTTGTCTATCCTGTGGGTCCCTGACACCAGAAGCCAGCATCACGAACTGGTGAAGCAGATCACCCTCACGGTTGCACCAGCTTAGGAACGTTTTTTGCATTCTGAGTGCCCAGTGTACAGCCCTCCAGGCAGGGGTGGAGGGGAAGGGGCAGCTGGAGGCCGGAGGAGAGAGGGAGGGGCGGACTCAGCAAGGAGCCTGGGGGAGGGGGACGCACTGCCCAATGCCAACCCTGCCGAAAGCCGGGGCTCCCCCCCAGTGCCGCAACCCTGGACTTCCGTCTCACTCCCCAGCTGGCTGGGGACTGACATCTACCCCTAAGTCCCAGGGTGTGGCCTGCTGATCCTCTGTCCTAAAGATTCTGGGCACAGAGCCATCAGCCAGACGAGCAAGAAGAGAGAGCAGTGCCCACAGCAAGGGGCAAGCCCCTAGTCCCTGAAGCAAACTTTTGGCAAATGGTCTCTTAGGCAGTGTTCCCTGGAGTTGTCTAAGCAACGAGTCTTTGCTAATGTATCTTCCTGGTCCTGCTCAGAATGACCTTGACCTATGCAGAAATTGGAGGGGGGTGGGGCTGGGGGGGGAGCAGAAGTCCTCCCCACTACTCGGTGTCCACCCACCTCTCCGGGCTCCACCAGAAAATGCCCAGACTCACCATGTCTTTGACCAGCAAATGTCCAGAGGAGAAGGCAATTGAGTTGGGGGGCGTCGAGACTGGGAGCATGAAGGCGTAGGAGCAGCCCACCGTGGCAGGGATCATCAGGTACAGGGGGTGCACTCTCAGACGGACGGCCTGGGCCCCGGAGGGGGCGGCGAGCCCAAGACATAAAGAACCAGACAGAAACCGCAAGAGGTAAAGGCAGTTGGAAGGGGAGGGACGTGGAGACAGACACAGAGACAGAGAGGTAAAGACACAGGGACAGAAAAAGAGTGAGAGCGAGCAATAAAAACACAGAAGACAATTTAGAGACAATAAGAAATGCAACCAGAAATAGGAATACCCAGGCGAGAGAGAGGCGGAGCACAGAAATCGACAGGGAGAACATTGTCAAGGTTAGTGACGGTCCAGAGCCCCACTGCAGGGCTGCTGGGGAGGATGAGCTGGGGAGATGTAGCTAGGACACTCCTTCCCCAACTTGCGTGTGCGTGGGAATCGTGGGGGGGGGAGGAAGCGGGGCTCGTTAGAACTCAGGTGGCTGATTCAGCGGGTCTGGGTCCGGGCGACCCAAAGAATCCGTACTTCCAACAAGTCCCCAGGTGATGCAGAGGCTCAAAAATAACACACACCTCTCCCCGCCCCCCTGCCTGGTCCTTCTCTCAGCCAAATAGTCCCCACAGCCAGGCTCTGGGCACCTTCTCTGGGGGCCTCACTGGGCCTCAGGGACAAGGAGAGCTCAGGATGGCACCTGTGGGCAGCATCTCCGGGTTTCTGACTGTGGATCCAGCGGGCCTGCCACTCGGCCTCAGTCAGGGGCCACCGGTGCGCCACTTCTCTCCAATGACACGGTCACCTACAGTTCCTGCCGATGGCTTCTCCAGCAGTGTATTTGCAGATAGGAGAGTTTGGGCCTCTCTAGGGGAATCACCCCCTTGATTGAAACGTTCTGATTTTGATGATGAACAGCATTTGGAAGAGTGTGTCGTTTGCTGGTACTCTCCTCCAGTAAAAGCGGCCCCTGCAGATCTGGCTTGCTCTGTGCTCCCCCCTCCATGCCTCCGTACGGTAGCCCCTCCAACTCTCTCAGTTGCTGGGTCCCTCAGATCCGGGGGGAGGGTGTGATTAAACCCCATCGCACTCAGCAAGAGGCGGGGAGCCCCCACCCGGCACTGCGGGTGAGAGTGTAAATGTCACACTCACTTTGGAGGGCAGTGTACCTGTATCTAACAAAACTGTAAGTGTACAGGCTCTTTCATCCAGAGATGTCAATTCTACCAGCATAGCCACATGCCACCAAAGGTGCGCAGACAGGGAACGTGTGGGGCAGTGTTGCTGGGTCGCAGCAAAGCCCGGAAACAGGTGGCCTGAACGACTCGACAACTATCGATTCCTAGTGGACTACTCTCCAGCCACTGACAAAGAACCACACGCATCTCTGTGTGTGCAAATACAGCGAATACAGTGTGATCTCCGTTATAACTGATGCATAAGTAAATCAAAATAAATTGGTACAGACAAGCATGCCTGGTATGTCACCGTTTGTATACAAACCGTATACTCCCAACAGTGATTTAATTTGGCCGGTTTTGGATTGATTTGAGGTGAGATGGTTTGGTCTTCTTTAATCCACTCAAATGTAAAACTCCTGTTAATCAGTGTTTAAATCCCTAATATAATCCCTTCCTGATCCCGCATGTTGTTCTTTGCCTATGGCCCTGGGTTCATTTTGCCATTTGCAACTTTATTTACATCCGAGGTGGAGTTGTTACAACTTCCCCCTTGTCTCCCCTCGTTCCCTTCTGGTGTCGGGGTTTGGCTAGCTTTCTGCGGGGGTCCAATGGCCTTCTCTACCTTTCTGCGCCCTGGAACCTGGGGTGAGTTGAGCACTCTCTGTTTCTCGAAGGTTCCAGCTCTCGCCCAGCCAGCTCTCCAGGACTGGAGACCTTCAGAGCAGCGGCTCTCCCCTGGGGATGAGCTTGTCCTTCCAGGGGACATTTGGCAATGTCGGAACCTGTTTTTGATGGCCCTGATTCAGAGGGAGTGCTACTGGTTTCCAGGGGGTCGAGGCCCGGGGTTGCTGGGGGTGGGGGCACTGAATGTCCTAGAGTGCACAGGACAGTCCCCAGCACTGACCCAAGGTGTCAGCGGTGCCAAGAAGCCTGGCTCCCCAGGGAGGCCGCCGCTTTGACTTCATCAGCATTTCTTACGTGCTTATCTGGCGACTCAGCTGTTCTACTTCCGCTTAACCCAAATTTAGTCATTTATATTTTCCTAGAAAGCTTTCCAAAGGAGGGTAGTGGGGCACTTTGAAGACATCGACTCTGTTATGCATTTTTGAAAAGGGAAACAGAAAGAGTATATATGTTTTTTAAATCAGGGTTCTGACACTTCGGTGCATTTCGGAAGAGAACGGGGACAGGGGAGCTCCCTGGTGGCGCTCCCGCCGGCAGGGAAAGCTGTCTGACCTGTGTTGTCGGAGGCCCCCGAGCAAGAGTGCTCCCCACCTCCCCCTCTTCCCCAGAAGGACCCTCACCAGCTCCGCCAGGACGGGCAGGAAGATGATGATGGTGGCCGTGTTACTGGCAAACTCGGTGAAGAAGATGATGACCGAGGTGATGATCAGGACAGCCAGCATGGGCGGCACGTTCTCCAGCGGGTGCAGCTGGTCGCTGATCCACATGGACAGCCCGGACTGCTGCGGGGGGAGGCAAGGGGCGTCTCTTCACACCCCAGCCCGCCTGGGCTGCCACCCCGGAGGGCAGGGCCTGGGCGGGAGGGCTGGAGCCAATCACAGTGCCGACAACGGTGCTCCCTCCTAGATACAGAGTCTGAGGTTCAGAGGGGCTAAGTGACATGTCCAAGGTCACACATTTGAGCCTGGACTTGAATCATCTCTGTTTCTTGAACTCTTCTCTATTCCATATGCTATAGACCTGGGGCCCGAAGCCTTGGACCCTCAGACACTCCAGCAGGTTCTCCAAACAGTCTCTTTGGGCCTAGCACCAGTAAGTTCTAACTGGAATGGGAGAGGGGAATGGGATTCTCCAGGACAAATCTCCACATTATTCCAATGACAGTTATTAGTTAAAATGATATTAATGCAAATGTTATACAAAACCTTAGTCTTTTAATTATTATATATTAATATGCATCAACTGTATAACATATATTAGATATACTATATATCATATATATGTATCAAGTATGTATTAAATATAATACTATCAATATGATTATAAAGATTTTGTGACCAATAATAAGGACATTTATTACATGATAACACAAATATGAATGTTATAACATTGTATTATTATTCATTATCACAACCATCAGCATGACTGTGGCTTTACAGGGTGCCAGGTACCTGCATGTACCCTGAGTCTTCCCTGCCACCCTATAAGGTACACATTCGTCCCTGTGTTACGGAGGAGCGACCTGAGCCTGGGAAAGCTTCTGTGATGCTCACGGCACCCAAAAGTAATGACTGAGGTGCCTTTCACACTTAGGACCACACGCTTCTGTAAGCTAACGTGCTCCAGCAAAACTCTCTGTCACCCGGGTGCCCTCATTTGGACACACCGGTCTGCCACTGCCCCTCTTCATATGACGAGCAATGTCCAGAGATGCCCTGAGGGCAGCAGGATAGAGGAAGGTCCTGTTAGACTGTCTGCCCCCTTGCTGGCCCTAGACTACTCTGCCGTCAGAACTGCAGAATTATCTCCAAGCTCTCTCCACTGAATTCTCAGAGAGTTACTCTGTTTGCAAGCATACACTATGTATACCGTCAGACCTCCTGCCTGAGGAGTACCTGGGAGACAGTATCCTTAAATACCGAGAGTTCTGACACACTTTCATTAGGATTCCAAAGCAGCTAAGCTGAAGGTGTAAAATTCTGCTCTATTCTGCCACCTGGTGGTGCCGTGCAGCAATATCTTAAAAACCTACCAAGTCGTGTCCCGCGGGTCCAGTGTTTTTTTTGTTGTTGTTTTTTAAACAAAGATAACAAAGGCATAAGCTTAGATGTTGATGGAAGGCAGAGTTGGGTTAGTCCCCTAATATTTATAATCAAGTGTGTGTCATCACAGCCCTTTTATCAACCCAGTGTCATCTGGTACCAATACACTTTGGTCTACCAAAGAAACTTCATACATTTCTTCTATGATTAATAGCAAAGGTACTGTTTGTAAAGAACCTAAAACTTTGTAAGGGCTTCTAGAACACAGCATACTGCTTTTCAATGAATTAACCCACACACTGGTCCCTGTGATCTGACTTGAAAATTACCTTCAATGAACAAACATGCTTCAAAATATTTTTCCCTAGAAGAGGCCTTGTAAAATTATGCTGTTTCTTTTATGTCTGCACCGTTTGTCTGAGAGCCTAGAAATTATGGCGCTTGGCCGAGTCAGGACCCCAGCCCCTTCCGGGCCCAGGGAAACTTTCAAGGGGAAAACGAGGCCACTGGTTTCCCCCAAGGCCACCACTTTGGCAAAGGGACCGACAGCAGTGTGTGCAGTTAAATAGAGAGAGGCTGGAGAGAGGGAATGTTAATGACTTGCAGGAAGGAGAAGCCAAGAACTTCCCCGTAGCCAGACTTCTGGGTGACGGGCTTCCAGCCAACGACCAGCGGCCACTCAGGCCTTTGGCTTGGTTTCCACGGCCAGAGTGAGGTCTGGCAGCTTCACGAGAGAGGGAAATCCCCAAGTGCCTGGGGTTCTCTTGAGGGCTCCAGAGGGCTTCACCTGCCACTCCCATTCCCTTAGGATTCAGAAGCTCTGTTTCCTTGGAAACACACAGCGCCCCGTGTAGCCAGAGGGTGAGGAGAAAGGGCCCTGGAGTCAGACTCAGTATGCTCCCCACCTTCATCCCTTCCAGCTGTGACGTCCTGATCAAGTAGCTTAACCCCTCTGTGCCTCACTTTCCTTCTCTGTACCTGGGGATATCTCAGTACCTATCTCAGACCGTTATTGTTGGGAGAAAAGGAGCTAATCTATAAAGCATCTTAGTAAAGTGCTTGGGCACCTGGTGTGTGCCCAGCACAGGTCAGCTGTCATTAGTAGCATCAAGTGGTGACATGCCAGACGTGTCAGGACCCTCAGAAGTCACCCAGTGCCGTGGCTGTGAAATCCTGTTCCTTATGACCCTCGAGGATGCCCAGAGGTGCCTGAGGTCACGTCGAGGGATAGGAGGGGGGTTGAGCTGGCAGGACAGTGCTCTCTTCCTCTGCCGCCTCGTCTCCCACGTCAATCAAGTCCTTTTCTAGGTCTCTTTGATAACCGCAGGGTTGCGTCTGGCAAGGAGGGTGTTATGGTATAAGTTAAACGCTTAAAGTTGAACCCTCAATAGAAAACACCTGTGGCCATCCTTTGCAAGATTCATAAATCACAGTAGGCTCCACTGTGTGTGTGCAACTCTGTACCCTAATTCTTAGGTACAGAGCCTGTGAATTCGATTAAAGGAAAGGAAAGGAAAGAGAGAAGGCTGCCTATGTGAGGTGAGCATTCAAACCATTGTACTGCCTACAAGCTGTGTGATCTCGGGCAAATTAACGAACATCTCTGTTCCTTGACTTCTCCAAGGGGTTGTGGTAAGGGTTAAACGAGTATGCGTGAAAACAGTTCCTGTACCGAACATGATTTATTGTTATTTATTTAATTGAACAATTAAATAAATTGGGCGCTCTTATAGGTATTTTGCTACTATTAACCTATCTAATTTTCATGGCAACCCCATGAGCAAAGTACTAGAACTCTCTGCATTTTATGGTTAAAGAAATGGGGGCACCAAGGAGTTGTGATTTGCCCAAATAAGTGAGATGACTTGCCCTATAACTGGAACTTATAGCTCACAGTGTGACTCTTAATCATTCCATTGGGCCACTTTTCCAATTAAAATAACAACAACAACCACAACAGTAAAACTCAGATCTCCAGCAGGAAATGAGGGACTGGGAAGAAGACGCTCCTTCCTGCTTGCTCCACTCTGATTTAACAGAGTGACCTTTGGTGACCTCAGTACATTCGTAGGCTGGTTTGCTGTGCTGGAGCTTAAATGAGATGTGCATGACGGTGCCAGAACAAGGCCAGCTTTTCATCCATGAGATGGTAAAATTCTAATAATAATGAGAGTAGCGAGGTTGGGGGAGACCCCGGTTTCCAGGTCGGGTACACACCAGCCCCCTGCTGGGCGCTGTCCACGCCCCCATCAAGTCACCGACCCTCAAACACAGCCCATCCTGCAGGGCGGGCCCACTAATATTACTCACTCAGAAGGCACGGCACACGGCAGATAAGACAGATACCATTCTTGCCCTCACAGACCTTCCATTCTGGTAAGAGACACTAGTAAACAGAAGAGTGAACAGGGCCACATGAGGGTAGACAGAGGATGAGCAGAGCAGTAAATGGAGAGTGACCGTGTAGGTGGGGAGGCTACTTTACATGTGTCGGTCTATTTACATGTGTCGGCCTATTCTGTGTGGTGACCTCATAGTTGAGAGGTGAAGGGTGAGGACCCAGAGATCTCAGGGGAGACCATTCGGCAGAGAGAAGGCAGTGCAAAGGTCCCTCGAAGCAGATGACTAGTGTGGCCGAGGAGCGCTAAGGGGTTGGAAGGACTGCAGTGGAGGTGCCGGGAGGAGCGAGACAGGGGCTGACCGGGTCTGTGTGGGGGCCAGAGGGAGCTTTCACACTAGAGTCTAAACAACTGGGGAGCCAGGCCTTGGGGAGGCAGGAGAAAACCGGTGAGAACACGGAGCGGGTGTCAGCGAGTTGCCCGAGCTCAGAGTAAGCCCTGGGATCTGATTCCAGCCCTGCAGATCCAGCACGTGGGAGTCCACATGCCCAGACTCACCCCAGCCCCATCTGAGGACCCCTAAGCCACAGGAGGCCTCTGAGGCCTGGCAAGGGCACCGGGCAGGGGCTAGGAAGCAGGATGTGCCAAGAGCAGTCTGGTCCCTCCGGGGCAGGCTGCACTGCCTGGGGAGGGGCCGACACCAGCAGGGCCCCGCGGGAAGGCGGCAGCTGCCACACAAAGCTCCCCTTGAACAGAAATCCCAGCCTGCTCCTGGGGCTGGGCCAGGAGCCAGCCTGGCCTCCCAGCATGCTCAGCGGCCCTGCAGCCCAGCCTCCATTGAGAGGCAGGCTTTGCCCACCACGCTCTGAGCTCAGAGAAGCCTCTGGGGTGTGGGGTCACCTCTCCGTCTCCTGCCTCAGGCCGGGCTCGGTGCATCTCTGTAAACACACCATTTCCACAGAGTTGCTCAGGGCAAAAACCATTGTGTCATCCTTGACCCTGAATTCCCTCTTTTTCCCCGATATCCAACCATAATAACCAGTTCTGTAGGCCATGTTCTAAGTTCTGCACATATATGGATGCATTTAATCATTGTAATGACGCTATGAGATGGGATGCATCAGTATTCCTATTTTGCAGACGAGCAAACTGAGGCGCACAGCTAAGAGGTAAAAGATTTGTGACTCTAACCCAGTGGCTTCATGCCACACCCGTGCTTTCTACCTTTGCATTGCATGGTCCTCTTAAGGCCTGGATAACATGTCACTTCCTCTGAGAAGCCCTCCTTAATACATCTCCAGTAGGAGGCAGTTGTGAGCGTTATCAGACAGACACCCATTCAAATCCCAGCTCTGCTACCTATGAGCTGTGTTACCTAGAATCCGTCACTTAACCTCTCTGGTCTTTGGGATTCTTAAAATGGAGACACCAAGAATACTTTTGCTCATCCATCCTTTGGCTCATTTTGAAACTATGTTATTTACTGAAAAAGTGAATAAAATAAAAATGTAGTTCACGAAAAAGAGTAGCTGGGTGGGAACCTAAGCGCGCCCCCAGAACCGCCTTTCTAAAGGGCCTTGTTGCCCCAGCACAGGGAGAGCGGACAGCAGACGACCTTCGCTGTCAGCCCCAGACTCAAGGGTGGCCTTGCCCAAGGTCACGCCTGCTCCTGGGGAGGCCCGAGCCCACGGATGATGGAGGGATTCGGGATAGAAAGGCCTGGCCATCTTGGACCACCTGGGACATCTCTGAAGGGCTCTCTCAGTTTGGCGACCAGAGGTTTGGTGGACGCGTTATGGGGGGGTCTGCCTCACCCTTGCCACAGGAGATGACCTCACAGTCCCCAAATAACCTAATATACCCCCTGTCTGCTTCCTGGAAGCAAAGCCTGCACGAGCCAGGGTATGAGGACGCGCAGCACCCCCTGTGTGCCGGGGACCACATCAGCATCATCATCTTTCACGGCTTCCAACCGCCCGGTAGAGTAAGAACCTCGAGCCAATTCATAGGTGAGAAAACTAGTGCCCAGAGGGGTGAAGGGACTTGCCCGAAGTGCCCCAGCGAGGGGTGACAGAGCTCCGGTTCGAATCCAGGTACTCGGGTCCCCAAGCCCGGGCTTCCGACTGGTATAGACCTTCATGGGTATCTCGCAGTGTAACACTATTTGAACCTGGAATTTTCAATTGAATTTAAAAAGAGAGCAATCTGAGAAGTAGATGCGGGTGTCCTTCACCTTCATTTTAGATGGCTCTTCTGCTGGTTGGGTTTTGAATGTGTGGGTTCACACGGCGCAATGTCGGGGCGGCGGGGCCCCCGCATCGTCAGCTGTGGTTGTAATCCTGGCCCTCCCATCTCCTGTTGCCTCTCTGGTCCTCATCTTTCAAGGGGGGCAGCACCAGCGTCCACTTTGGTGGTGTTCATGAAGACCGATACGGTCCATATGGGCAAAGCGCTTCCAGCAGCGCCCGGCACTTGGGAAGCTCTCGAGACCGGCCCGGTCACTGGGAGCCTGGACTCTGAAATTCCATTGACAGAAGTTTGAACCTCAGCTCCTAGCAGAGTGTGATTTTGTGATTTTAAGAGGGTTGCTTAATTTTTCCACGCCTTCGTTTTCCTAGTTGTAAAGTGGGAGTTGAAAATATTACGGGGACCCTCGGGCCCGTGTGCAGCCCAGTGAGATGACACATTGTGCCTCGTGCCGGACACTGAAGCTGTTCCTCTTCTGAGCAGGGCCAATGACCTCGAGACTGAGCATCTTCTGACATCCTGCACCCTTGGGGGCTCCCTTGCCTCCCTCTAGTCCCAGCCCTGCCTCTGAGCTCACAGAACCCTCTAGAATAACATTAATAATTAGTTAATAGTAAAAATATCTAACATTTATATTACAGTGACTAACAGCACACATTCTGGAGCCAAACTACCTGGAGTCCAATCCCAAGCACATAGCTGTGTGGCCTTGGGCAAGTTGCTTTACCTCTCTGTGCCTTCCTTTCCTAGTCTATAGGATGGAGATTAGGATGGCATGGACCACCTAGGCTTGCTGGGAGAGTGGAAGTCAGCTATTGGTAAAGCACATTGGACGGGCAAGCACAACGCGGGGTGTTGCTCCTCTGTGCTCGGAGAACACAGAGTCGTGACGTTACTGGTACCAGTAACAGCACTACGTTCAACGTGAGCTCCTTGAGGGTCCGGTCATACCTTTTTCCTCTCCTCCTTCGCAGCACCAGGCACTGAGATGGGAACTATGATTATCCCAACTGGCAAATGAGGTGGTGCCTGCTGGGCCTGTGGCATCACTGCCGCTTATGCTGAGCCTGCGGCTGTGGCTGGGCCCGCCCACACCTCCGGCCCGCAGCCCGCCTGCCGTTCTTACCTCGCAGCCCTTGGCCATGGCGAAGCCTCCGCCCAGGAGAAGGATGATGCTCCAGGGGATGGTGTCCTGGGCCTTCCTCCACGTCAGCAGCGGCTTTGTCTCCGTGTTGGAGGCTGGGCAGAGAGAAGACACTCGTTCTGAGGGGCGGACCCGGGTCCCTGCAGCCCCGTCTCTGTGGGGACATTCAGGGTCCTCCAGGAAGCCACACCCCAACTCTAGCATCTGATTCTGGAGCGTGAGGGAGAAAACCCACGGCATCATGGTGGGGCATGTGCCCTACTCAGAACAAAACGGTTTTCACGGCTCCCTGCACCTTGAGGATCTCCTGGGACCCAGCACTCCGCACCCAGGACCCCCTGCAATCTCTCAGCAGCCCTCTGGGGAAGCGTTACTTTCATCTTCACACAGAACAAAAGGCTCTCTTTGGCACTGGCTGTACAGAGAGGAAAGAAAGAGGAAGGATATTACGGAGAAAAAGGCTACGGGAACCGTCGGCCTGTGGAATTATGAGATGATTTTTATGTTTTCCAAAGCGGCGGCATGCGCAGTGGTTAGAACAGGGGTCAGCACACTTCTCTGCAGGGGGCTAGGGAGTGGGTGGGTCCTTTAGACTTTGTGGCCGCTGTTGGAACTAGGCTGCCACGGTGGCATGAAACAGCCGTGGGCAAAACACACACGGACGGGCGTCCCACAAAATCCTACTTCCCACCGGGTCTTCCCACTTCCTATCAGCCCCAGGCGCTATTTTCTTGTAAGACAGAAACCGTTCTCTGTTTCAAACGTGTGGAAGGAAGATGGACAGGGAGGGCCATGTCGCCTGAAACAGACCGTCCTGCACCCAGTCTGCTGCCTACGTGAGTGTCTCTTCCCTGCAGGAGTCTGAGTCCACAGCCTCCATTCAGCAGAACTAGGAAGGCCAGAGGTTTGGCGTGTCTCAGGGGGACCTGCTGATTTCTAAGTGGGGAAGCAAGGCCCAGAGAATACAGGCACTCGTTCGAGGTCACCTAGCAAACACTAACTGAGCTGGGGTAGCAGACATCTAGGGCATCTGCCCCCAGCCCAGAGGCAGCTCTGGGCCTGTGAGCCCACCCCCAGTGGCAGAACCACGGACGGAACCTGACCCGGAGGAGCCACGCCACAGCCTGGGCAGGAATCAATGAGGCTACGAGGCCGCTGGGTGCGGGGGGGCGGAATCTATCACAAAAAGAAGTACTGATTCATGTTTGAATATGGCTCAAGCGTAAAAACATGTTCATTGAAAGCAGCCAGTCACAAAGGATCACATATATAACTATGGTTACATTTATTTAAAAAAACTTATCTAGAATAGGGAAATCTATAAAGAAAGTAGACTGGTGGTCGTCTAGGGCTTGCAGGGAGGGGCAGGAGTGACCGCTAATGAACCAGGCTTTCTTCGTGGGGTGATGAAAATATTCTAACGTTGGTTGTGTTTGTGCCTGTACAACTCTGTGAATAGACTGAAAACCATTGAATGGGTGATTTATACAGCATGTAAATTATATCTCAACACAGCTTATATATATATATATATATATATATATATATATATATATATATATATATATATATAAAGAATAAGCCAGACCAACCAGATTCTTACTCTCAGAAGTATCTGTGGGAAATAGAGAGATCACTGGGCAAAAAGAAGTGATAATAAAAGGTGGAAGACTAGACAGAGAGGCCACCTGACATAGGAGGGGCATTAGCAACTGAGGTTCCCTGGGGGAAATGGAAACTGGGAGGGAGTGGAGACTACCAGGATGTGGAAACTGGGAGGAAGCAGAAACAATGAGAAAATAGTTTCTGGGAGGAAGCCGAGGCTCCGAGGAAGCAGACAGACTCGAAGGAGCAGGCTCTGCAGGACCAGAAGCTACGGGGGGACGGGCACTGGGGGGACGGGCACCGGGGGGACAGGAAGCAGCAGAAGCCGCTGTGGACGTGAGTGGGCAGTGGCAGGGAGGAGACACTACAGGGGAACAGAAGTGATAAAAAAGCAAGAGCTATGAGGAAGCAGACGCTGGAAAGACACAAAAGCTAAGAAGCAGGAGGAACTATGAAGAGACCAAGGAAGGGCATGTGGAGCGGAGGGCGGGGAGAGCCATCTGGGACCGGAGACGCAGAGATGGTGGAGCCCAGGGCACCCGCTCGACTTCGCGGAGCCCACGGCCTGCGCTCCTCGGACCCAGGGCTGGCCTCCTAGACGGCCAGCTCTGCCTCAGCAACCGCCGGTGGGACCCCGTCAAACCCTCTCCGCCCGATCCATCGGCTGTATTTATTCCCCACCCTCCACAACTGAAACTCTCCTTTGAATGCTCCATTTTCTTCAGCAACAGAAACTACTTCAGTTGTGCCTCACTCCGGCCCAGAGCTCAGCGCTCCCCTTAGATGGAGACGGGCGCCCCCCCCCCCAAGACAGAGAAGGGCCAGGCACACAGGTGGCAGGTGTGGGCGCCTTTTCCTGGCAGACACCTGCTGGAAATCCAGGAGGGTCAGGAGTTGGTGCTCTGAAGACCAAGGATGGTGTGGGAGGGCTCAGTGATTGTTCGAAGCCGAATTTGCATGCTTTTTGGCACTTTCGCCTCACCCTCCACCACTTCCTATTCATTGAAACCCAGCCCGAGGTTTCACGTCTGGCCCCTTACGCAACTGAGTTGCAAGTCCAAGGGCAGGAAAGTCTTCCGTGAACAGGACCAGAAAGCAAATATTTTGGGCTCTGTGGGCCAAGAGGCAACATTGAGGCCATTGCTTAGGTACTTAAATAACTAAAGAAAATATCAGCCCACACATTTCTTACAGAAGGCATTAAAAACTATTTCTGGACACTGAAATTTGAATTTCAGGTCATGTCCATGTGTCATGCATATTTTTCTCCTGATTTTTTCAACCATTTAAAAATGTGAAAGCCATTCTGAGCTCATGGGCTGTGAGAACGCGGGCAGCCAGCTATATTTGGCCCGTGGGCCATAGTGGGTAACTCTGCCCTGGGCAGTCACCTCTGGCAGCCCCATGCGCCCAGACAAGGTAACCGCTCAGGTGGGGAACAGGGAAGATGCAGGGGGGGGGCAGGTCCCAGATGCGGGCCCCACCTCCAGGCCACAGAACTCCCCAAGCTCCTGGAGACCCCAGCCCTGACCCCCTTACCTTTCAAGTCAAACCACCACTTGAGAGAGGGCCTTTGGGACGGGAAGAAGAACAAGATGGTGACAACGGCCATGCCAGTGACAGCATCAGAAATAAACCTACAATGACAGACAAGGCCCCCAAAGCACGTGACCCTGGGCCTCTCAGCAGGCCAAGGTCGGGCAGATTTACAAATGAGCATCAGTGGGAGGGGGTTAGGGCCACTGTGACGGGGCCCGGTCAGGTGCCTCTGGATTCTGTCCTGCACCGAACTCCACCCTGATGCCACCGCCCATGGGGGCAAAAGCCCTTCACCCACAGCTCCCTGGGGCTTTTAGAGCCTGCTGTAGCCAAATACTTTTCTCCCCAATCCAAGGACCCTTGGGAAGGGGACATGACCACAGAGGAAACAGTCTGAGAGCTAGAGAATCCTAGGGTCTGGGGGACACCTGTGGGTCTCCAAAACTGGGCTTCCTGAAACAGCCCTGTGTCCGTTCAGCTTCTCTTTGCATTCCTCCTAGGACGGGCAGCTTACTACGTGGCTATAGAGCTCATTCCCATCAGCAGAGCCCAGATGGAGCCAGCCTCATAGACCCTCAAAGCCTAACCTCCACCTTCCAAGGACCCACGAGGTTCCCTGTGGGGACTCAATCTCCCAGAAGCCTGGGGTGGCAGCTTCTGTTTGCGAGGAGGAGTCCACAGCTCAGAGAGCAGAGGCAACTCGCTCAAGGCCAGATCGTGGTCCGTGGAGGAGATTGGCATTGAAACCAGATCTTTCCAGCTCCAAGTTCAATGAAGCTCAGAGCCAACTACTAACAAAAGCCTTTTTAGCCCACACATTTGGGAAGAAGATTATTCAAATGGCTGAGAAACTGAAGAAGATAGTCAATGTCACTGTTAGAGAATATACATCAAACCACTAACGGAGCACCATCCATTTTTACCTCTGTGAACAGACAGTCACACTCGAGAAGGACGGTGATACCGAGTGAAGACATTGGGAAACATACAGCTGATGGGAAAATAAACATTTAACCTTCCGGAGGCAGCTGGCAATGTGTTCCAACACTTTACGTGAGAACCCATTGATCCAGAGATTGTGCTTCTAGGAATTTATCCTCAGAAATAACTGGGCTCTTGTGCACAGATTACGTGCTGGGATGTCCATTATTGATGAGAGTTTAAAAAAAAGATGTTTAATAACATAAATGTAAAAAAACACCCTGTATCTGTTTCTTTAAATATATAAAATAACATCTATCTTTAGGTATTGACAAAGACATGCAACCAAGAAACTTTATATTAGAAAAAAGTTTTTATTCCCAGTATTGGACACAATCCAAAAGGAATTGATAAACAAAAATACTCCTATTCTGTAGAATACTACACAGTGTTGAAAAAGAATGAAATAGCAAGCTGTCCGTGATCATGTTATTATGTTTTCCAATTTCTCATTACATGCCTGTGTGCACAGATACATGTATGAACGCATGCACCCATGAACACGTGTGCACGTGAACATACATGCAAATACACATATGCACGAACGTATGCACGTGTCCATGGATGGGTGTGTGGACACATGTATGCATGCATCCATGAATACGTGCATGTGTTTGTATGAATGTGTGTGTGCCTGACACATTACATACCAGACTTTAATCATGAATGTTGTTAGGGAGTGGGATGGGGGAGATGAAAGGCAACTAAATTTTACTTTTTCAATTCAGCATTGTATAAATTTTTTATCAGGAAACAAACCAGGCAAAAGCATATCACAGTATGTTCACTGTTGTCACATTTCTGTCAAAAAAAAAACAACCTTGTGTCCAGATAGGTTTCTTTTTGGGTAGTTTGCACGTGTTTTTAAAATGAGTTTTGCTGAAATCTATAATTAACATGGAATAAGAGGCACCCCCTTTAAGGACATGGTTAAGCGAGTTTTGACCGGGGTGCTCTTGTAACAACCAACACAGCCAAGGTGTAGGACGGCGCCCGGATAGGGGACTTTTCAAGTCAGAGGGCATGTACATCAGATCTGGAGACGGAGGTTCTAGGTGGCGTTTACTTTCTTTGTGTTGTTAGAGTACTTATAACTCCCACTTTTCAGCTGGAAAAAAATAACTACGTACCTACATTTTGGAAAAATAGAAGAATGGCCATCAGAGCCACTTCTCTTGATTCTGTGAAACTATATATTTTCTTCCTCATAACAGCCCTCATGAGATCAGAACTGGTATCGCCCGTGTCAGCAGAGGGGAGCCCGAGGCCCCGTGGTGAGGCGTGGAGAGCTGGTCCCTCCAGCGTGGGGGGCCAGCAGCCACGTGTGGTTCGTGGACGCTTGAAACGTGGCAAGACCAAATGGAGATGTGTGGCTGTATAACATTCCCTTCCACGCACACCAGATTTTGAAGATTTAGTGTGAGAAAAAGAAATCTCTCAAAAATACTTTTATATGGATTACATGTTAAAATAATACAGTGGGCTATAAAAAAACAGATTGCCACAGTCATTTTCATCTCTTTTGACTTTTAAATGTGGCTATTTAAATGTTTTAAGTGACATCTGTGGCTCACGTTACACTTCTATTGGACGGTGCCAATGGAGACCATCAGATCTCACCAAATCCAGAGGACACACCTGCCGTCTAATCGCGTTTGAACTCACACCGGGATTCGACACCGTTGCCTGCTCACTCTCTCTCAAAATCCTTGCTCGTTTCGCCTTTACCGGTCCGTGGCTCCAGGTTTTGTGACCACCTCACAGACGGTTTCTTCCCCACTTCTCTCATGGGATCATTCTCCACCCAGCTCCTGAATGTCGAGGCTCCTCAAAGTCTGCCACACTCTCTCCACACTCTTTCCCTCACCGAGCCCATCGATTCCTCTGGACTTCAGTTCCAAAATTGTATGATAACTCCAAGATTTACATCTACAAGCTGACACCTTCTGAGGCTTGCGTACCCAAATGCCCACGGCGGCATCTGAGAAGGTATGTTAGACTGGATGCGTCTCCACCAAGTTCAAAATAGACTTGTTGACGAGACACGCCCAGTCTCTCTAAAGAACGTTCTTCTCCCCTGAAGCACCGCCAGTGAGGGGCCTCCTTTCCCACGGGCCCCCAAATTCGACCACAGCCAGGATTGTCATTTCTAACTTTGAAATGTATCCTAACTGTTCTGTCTCCATTGCTACCACTGTCATTCAAGTCACTGAAGTCATCGCCTAGACTGGTGTCAGTCAACTTCTGTCAAGGGCCGCACAGTACATATTTTTGGATTTGCAGGCCGGGCTGTCTCCATCATGATGCCCGTAGCCTGGGAGCAGCCAGAGACAGCACAGGGGTGAGTGGGCACGGCTGTGGTCCGATGGAGCTGCGTTTGTGCACAGGGACACTTAAACTTCATGTCACTTTCGTGCGCCACTCATTGAGTCTAATAGGTACAGTTGTTCATGCGGAAAAGAATACAATGATTAATAAGTAATAATATAAGAATAATCTCTTGATAAGTAATAATATAAGAATAAGTAAAAACTCAACTCTTTAGAAGTTGAGTATTCACAACTTCTAAACCTACTTTTTCTTTACCTGGTACTGTCTTTTGATTTTGTCCAGCCATTTAAAAACATAAAAGCCACTCGAACACAAGGCATGGGCCAGATGTGGCCCATGAGCCTTAGTCTTCTCACCACCTATAGAACGGCGGTCATCGAGGTGGTCCCATAGCTCCTGACTGCTCTGCCCACCCATATCCTTGCCCCCGCTGCCCATTCCCTAGTAGATACAGTTACTGTTCTATGGGGTTCTTCCTCCGAGCAACTCTAATCACGTGACCTGCGCTAACTCATTTATGCTCAGAATGCTCCAATGAGAAGTGTATCATCACAGAACCATTTTTCAGATGAGGACGCTGAGGCGCCCAGACGTTGAGTAACCTAAAACCCTCCCATAGTTTCTATTGCTCTCATTCAAAAAGACCAAAATGCGTAACGTGTCCAGCAAGACCACCACAATCTGGCTCCCGCCTTCCCTCCCGGCCACATCTTGCCCACTCTCCCCCCTTCCCACCGGGCCTCGGTCACACAAGGCTCCTGTCCATCCTTCCCAGGTCCTAAGCTGGTCCCTCCCGCAGGCTCTCAGCGGACTTGCCCAGGGTGTCTCCAGGTTTTGCCTCCACTCTTCCTAGCCTTCGGTTCTCCCCGGAACTCTCCAAAGTCAAGGCCCTCACTCCACTCTTTCATCACGCTCTCTTTCTTTCATTGCACTTGTTACAATAAGCTATTTTGCTGCCTAACTCCTTGTTTCGGCCTGTGAACCCAACACCTAGCAAAATGCTTGGCTCATGTTAAATTCTCAATAAATGTTGATTGAGTGAATGCAAAAATGAATTCAAATGAATGAATGAATGACATGCTCAGGGCCTCACAATTTCTAAGTGGCAGAGCTGTCCCTGGAACCCAGTTTTGTCTGATTTCAAAGCCAACGCTCTCAATATGTGAGAACCCAAATGTCTTATCATCCAGACTTAAATTCTTCTGAGAGCAAAAGAAGGACCTGCTGATAATCACCAGGGACGAGGGGTATGAACCTGTCCCAGGTCCCCGTCGCTGCAAAGCCTCTCCACCTGCACGTGGCCCATCCCAGAATCTTCCCTGTGGGACTCGGTTCCCTGGGTCCCCAGAGGCTCACCCAGCAGGGAAGAGACTGGCCCAGCCAGGGATGAACTTCGGGTCCCGGAAGAAGAGGAGAATGGCGAACACGCAGAAAAGGATGAAAACGGCCTGTTCGGCAAACCTGTGGCACAAACAGGCAGGCACGTGGTGACCGTGGGCTCCAGCAGACCACAGGGCGTGGAGGCCTTGGGCAGGTACCCACGGTGCGGCGGGGCCCAGACCCTGCCTCTGAGAAATGGAAGGAAGTAATTCGCCTCCCAGGAAGCCTCCAGTGGAGAGGGGTGTCCCGTGATGTGCGGGGTTCCTGCCTGGGCCTGCCACACTCAGCCAGGATCCTCCCTAAGCATCAAGCACCCCCTGTCCCCAAATTATTTACATCATTTCTACTGGGGATTTCCCAGAGTCTTAAGGCGAATCCAGAGACAGAGAGAAAGAGAAAGAGTAAAACAGAGTCAGAAAAGTAGAGAGAAAGGAAACAGACAGAGGTGGGCAAAGAGAGAGGAAGAGTCGCACACAGAGACAGACAGATAAACATAAATGCGGAGTGGGGCAAACAGAGAGGGACAGACGTGAAGAGAGACGTGCACAGAGGTGGCAAGAGAGAAGCCTCAGATGTTGAGGTAAATATCTACCCAATGTTCTCCTTTCAGAAATTGGGGGACAGAGCCCAGAGAGGCTTAGTGCCTTGCCCAAGTCACACAGGAAGTTAGTGGCAGAGCCAGCCCTCGGGGGGGCAAGCCTGCTGACTCCTAGTTATTTTTACCACACGAGACACATACATTAAACAAGGTCCTGGCAGTAACCAGAGGTGATGCCGAGTATCCCATGTACCAGGAGGGAAAGGGTGCATTAGGCAGGAGAGAGGCAGGTCCCCACTCCAAGTACATCCTGGGGGGCTTTCTGGTCCTCAGAGTGCCTACCCTGGCACCAGGGAAAGAGGCTAACTGTTAAGCCACCTCCCTCCCCTCCATCTCCAGGATCCCATCTCAAGCCATTGGTCCTGATATTTCCCTGGGACTCAGCCCCCAAGGGCCCAGGGGTCAGAACAGGAGGACTGTACAGAAAGTCTGATGCCCAGCTCTCCCCCACCCCTCACCCCCAAGGACCATGGGCCACGCACTTCATGGGTCCCAGATTCTGGAATTCCTGCTGGATCATAGCTCGAGCCCTGTCTTCTGCACCAGCTCTGATCTCAGATTTCTTCTTTCTCCAGCCCCTGAAACAAAAAGTGGGGAGGTTAGGAGTGGCCACTGCAAAGGTGACTAACTTTCCCCCAGCCCACTACCACCTGGCCAGGCCTCATTATCTCCATTCTGCAGACTGCAGTGGCCTCTCAGTGGTCTCCCTCTGTCCTGCCTTTCTCACATCTGTTCTCCCCACCTGTCGCCTAGACGATCTTTTAAAAATGTGAATCTGATCATATAACTCTCAGGGAGCCCTTCAGGGGATTAAACATCAACATGAATAAACAGACAAATCAATGGAATAAAATATAAAGTCCAGAAATGCACCCACACATAAATGGGGATTTAGTCTTCGATAAACCTGGTTTCACAGATTAATGTGCAAAAGATGGGCTGTTCAGCCAATGGTGTCAGACATGTGAGTCAGTGAGACTGGAGAGTCCGGAAGTAAGCCCATACATCTACGGTCACGTGACTTTTGACAAGGATGCCAAAACCATTCAATGGGGCAGGAACAGTCTTTCAACAAATGAAGCCAGGACAACTGAGAGCCACGTGCAAAGGGAGAAGTGTGGGTCCCTACCTCACACCGTGTACGGAATTGAACTCCGACTGGATCCTAGACCTAAGTGTAAGAACTGAACCTAAACAACTCTTAGAAGAAAACATAGCGGTAAATTTCATGGCCTCGGACTAGTCAACTGTCTCTTAGACATACAATATCAAAAGCTCAAGCAATTGAAGATAGATAAATTGGACTTCATCAAAATTAAAAACTTTTGTGTGTCAACAAATGGTGTTGGGATCACTGACTAGTCATCCGGAACAGAAAATAAAATTGGATTCAAACCTCACACAGCACCCTAAGAATAAACTCCAAAAAGATTTAAAAAAATTAAATGTAAAAAAGTTAAAATATCAAAAGAAAATATGTGATTACTTTAATACTTCCTTTAATGGGAAGACCCTCTTATTTATAATGGAAAATTCAGAGGCTATCTGAGAAAAGATTGATAAATTCATCTGTATAAAATTTTCTCAAAAATTCTACATGAAAGAAAATACTGAAGAAAAAATATTTGCAATCCTTGTTGCAGAATAACCACTAATTTTTCGATGTATAAAGAGTACTAGAAATCAACAAGACGAACACCAATAGTCCATCTGAAAAATGTACAAATGACATAAACCCAATTTAACCAGTTTAAAAGAAAAGGAAATAACCAATGAGCCCCATGAATGTATCCAAACTTTTCATATTGCCTCTTAACATTAAAAGTTGCTCAAAATTACTCTCAATAAAATAAATGCACCAGTCAGGGCACATGCCTGGGTTGCAGGCCGGTTCCCTACAGGCCAGTTCCCAGCAGGGGACGAACGCATGAGAGGCAACCATACATCAATATTTCTCTCCCTCTCTCCTTCCCCCCTTCCCCTCTAAAGATAAATAAATAAAATCTTTTTAAAAAAAAAGCATTTCTCCTTTAAAAAAAATAAATAAATGCAGGTTATTTTTCTCATCAGATTGGCATAAATTCACTTTTCTGTATGGAAACAGACACTCTCATATGTGGCAAACGGTACAATTAGTACAATTCTTATGGAGAATGACTTGACAATGTTTATTAGAATAAAAATGTGTTTCTGTTAGTGTATTAGTATCGATGATGGGTGAATTAACTGATGGTCTGGGCGTAGCAGGCTGGGCACACCACCCCTAACCCTCACATTCCTGGGAAGTGGCGTCCGCTCCAGTCACCGTGTGAGAAGGCGACATGAAGCTACAAGAACAATCCTCAGCTGACCTAGAAGCCTGAGACACAGGGAGCCCACTCCCAGGTGAGAAGGAAGCTGTGTCAAACACAGTTCAGTCCAGCGCAAAGCCCGAGCAGAACAGGAGGGGTACCTCAAGGTCATTCCCGTGTACAGGAAGGAGATCCAGAGCCAGCCCAGCAGCAGGAACAGCACCATGAGTGGGAAGGCGAAAATGAACCAGGAGCCGAAATTCACCACCTCACACTCTGGGAAGTAACTGGAGGAAAGAGGGTGGTGAGAGCCAGCCAAGGTCAGCCTTGGGGGGCAGGGGGGAGCCTGTCCACGCGCGCATAGAAAAACTAGGAGGAGTATGTTAAATATTAAGAGTGGGATGAAAAGTATTTCAAAATTTTAATTTTTGCTATATTTTCTGAGAGCTCTGTAACATGCCTATTACATGCATAATCAGAACAAGCTAATAAAATGTACTTCCGGAGCAAAGCCCGAGGAGAACACTCGGGGCCACTATTTTCCTGTCTCCCCAGGCTCCCTGCTGCAGAATCAGAACCCCATGTCACTTAGCATTCTTTCTAAATCCCCTCCTCCCCTACCAGAAGGGCCAGGCCTGTGCAATTCAATGCTGCATATTATTTGCATGTGATTTGCATTCAATTTACTCCAGATCCTTCCTGTTTGATATTTTTACTCACATCTCCACATCTCCTTCCCTGATTTCTTTTAAAGTTGGGGCAAAGTGCTGCTCATACCAGGGTGGGCAGACAGCCTGAAAACTTTCTGAAGTAGCTGCCACCTTACCCATGGACCCCACCCCCCAACTCAGGCCCTGCCTCTGAGGCCCCCAGACCTGCATCCTTCCTATCCAACCCCTTCTGAATGAGGAGACCACAGGGCCAGCACAGACTATCCCCTCATCCACAACAGGAGGGCCGTCTTCCGGTGTTTTAGTTGCCAACCAGCAAACCTGAGGCACGGCCAGATTTTGCTTAAAGAACAGAGGTGAAAAGACACCAAGGTCGGCAGTGAGAATTGGTTGGAAAGATACTGATGCCTGGCCCCCCTCCCACACCCCCCGAATCAGAATCTCTGCACCTGAGACCCAGATGTATTTTTTCCTCTCCCCTGGGGGCTCTGATAAGCACCCACTGGCCGAACACCACCCATTTCTACCATCACATCATACAAATCAAGGAATTTAAGAACCTGAGAATATAGCAGAGGTTTAAGGCGTTCAGATCAGTTCATGGGGCCAAACAGGAGTGTGCTTAACATTTCCCATGACAGTAATTTCAATTACCCACAAGTGTAGTACCGATTTATGTGCCCCAGCCCTGCTCTCGGCTAGATCGCCACCCTCCTAACAGGTTCCCGATTCTTCGGTTCAGTAGCAGATAAAGAAATTGGCCAGCACGTGGGGCCATGTTGAGTATCAAGGACTTCTTACTGCTACTTGTTTGACAAATGCGTTCCTTTGCCTTCACGTGGATTAAATAAACCGCTGCCAATCACCACGGCACAGGAGTCTTAGAAACCCTGCCTCAGAATTCTAAAATCTGAAAATCTTAGGATCTTGAAATACAGGAATTTTAAACATCTTTGCACTAAGAGGCTTGGGAGGATGACTCAACGCCTCGTGCTGTCCGAGAATCCCCTTATTCTCATGCCTTCCTCTCTTTGAATAGTTTCCTCCCTCGGGACACTCGTTTTTCTGGTAGACCCCTCTGCACTGCTGGCCCAGGTTCACGGTTGCAAAGCTTCTCGCTGGATGGGACAGCCATGGACCAGCGCCTCCATTTGGGGCATCTTTAAAGCGGATGCCGCATCATGTCACTCTTCTGCCCTCAACTGTCCACTGACTCCCCACTGGGTCCTTAACAATAAATGCCTTAGTCTGGCCTCTTCCCTCCTCACCTCCTCCCACAACGCCCTCCTCCTTCTGCTCTCTCACCCTGCTGGTCTTTGTGCCATTCACCTCTGCATAGGCCATTCCCTTCTGTGTCCACATAGTTCACCTCCTCACTTTTGCTCAAATGTCACCTAGTTAGAAATGCCACGCATCCATGACCAACCAATATAAAATGGCACCCACTCCTGTCCCTCTACCCCCTTCTCCTGCTTTGTTTTATTTCACAGCTTATTATGCCAACATATCCCATATTCATTTGCTTTTTCTTTTACTGCTTGTCTCCCCACCAGAATAGAAGTCCCTTAGAGCAGAGACTTTGCTGGGTTTTGTGCCTTGCGCGGTCCTGAGAGTCCAGCCAATAGAAGGCACTCATGACACAATTTCCCTGGTTGTTAAACGAAGGGGGTAGGAGGAAGAGAAGGCAACTCCAGGGCCAGATAGGGGACACTTGCTTTTACCTCTTGAGTCCACCAAGCAGGATGAGGTTGGGGGGAGTGCCTGTGATAGTGGCAGTGCCCCCGATGCTGGCTGAGTAGGGGATGGAGATGAGGAAGCCCTTCCAGATGTTTTTGCAACGTTCCTCCTCCTTCGCGGAGTCAGCTGGAAGTTCCAACGGAGCCTCTGCCTCCTCGTGGCCGTCTTTGCTTTAAACAAACCCGGAGAGAATCTGCTCAGAACACACCCAGCGTTCCCGGCCTCACGGGATGTCTTCGCACAGTGCTTGGGTGGGGGCAACTGGCGGTCTTTCCAGAAGGTAACTTGGCATGGGCCTTCAAAACCTCTAAAAACACGCAGCCCTTCAGCTCAGGTGTTCTACTCTAAGAATTTGTCCTCAGTAAATAATTGGGTAAAAGCCTCAGGTGTGGGTACAAGCATTCATGTGGTATGAAATGCAGTAAGTTAAATTGAGAACAACGGAAATCTCCATAAAAAAGGGGTTGGCTACATAAAGACCATCCTCTTTCTGGTGGAACCTGGATGCAGCCATTAAAAACAGTGATTCAGATGAGCGTGCTAAGATGAGAGGTGTTCATTACACAAAGGGAAAAGATAGGGAATAGCACTAGTTTTTCATTTTAAAATAGTCACATATTTCATGAATCTCCAAGTATGAAGAAAATCCTAAAATAGTAATAGGCAAAGCTGATTTGGTGCCCTTCTCGGGGCTGGAACTATGGATTTTTTTCTCTGTTTGTATTTTCTGGGTTGCTTTCCTTGCACAAAGAGTTTGGGGAAGGCGTGAAATCAAGAATCGTTAATTATATAATTAAAAGATAATGCTGTTGACACAAATGCATTGAAGTGGAAGATATTTGGTACACTCCATTAAGTGAGATAATAGCATAGGTAGCATTATCAATCTTTTTATTTAAGAAAATGTATTTATGTACACAGAGAGGTAGCAAGAAATAATCTAGAATGGTATTCGCTTAACTGTTTTAATGCTGAATATATATATTTTTGTTAAGGAGTACTTTTGTTTTTGACTTGTGCAATTATAAAATGTTCATAAGTGAGTGAAATTACGAATGGCTCCTGTGCAACCAAAAAAGTGTTCAAAGAATAAAATTCCTGCAAATACCTTCTGGCCTTAATTGCTACATGAGGGGCCCCTTCTCCAGTGGGTGATGGGGACATGATCTGGAATCTGAAAGGAACGTGAGGAAGCAGCTGGAGACCTTTGTCCTGCATGGCCTGACTCTCAGGGTGACTGGCCCTCTCAGGAAGGCGGCCTCTCTCAGATCTGGGGACCCAACCAGGCTGAGCCTCACAGTGAGAATAAGGGAGCAGATAGGGCTCTGGGACTCATCTAGTGAGACTCTTTCTTTGTTCTGATGGGGAAACCGAGTCCAGAGAGGGGACGAGGTTTGCATTCAATGGACACGGAGTCTCCGTCCAATGGACAGGGCTTTCATCTCATGGACATGGAGTTCCAGAGAGTGGCGTCAGGTCTTTCCAGTAAACTCGACACAAGCCTGGCATAGGCAGATGGTTCAAACTGACGCCCGGGTTGCGTGGTAGTGAGTGCTGGGCCATCACAGAATCCGTATCTCAGAGCTGGACTCGAAGCTGCCAAAGGGTGCTGGGGAGGAGCTTGGGCCGTGGGACAAGACAGATGTAAGATCAGGTTCCTTCTCTGCTATCCCTCCCTCAGCTCCCATCTCATTCAAAGTCAAGGCTGCATCAACGGCCTATGAGGTCCCACGTGCTCTGTCCCTCCATGACCACCCTCTTGCCATATCTCTCTGGCACTACTTCCTACCACCCACTCACCCAACAGCGACCACACAGGAAGCACGCAGGTTTCCCGTCTGCCCTGGACTCTCAGGAACTGTGCACCTGCTGGTCCCTTGGCTGAGAACATTCTACAGGTCCCCCATGACTCCCCACCTTTTACAGGTGTCTGTCTGCTCAAGCAGAACCTTCTTAAAGAGGCCTTCCCTGATCACCCATTTTAAAGCTGCCCCTGGTCACGTCCAGTCCCCTTCCCTAGCCTTCTTTTCTGCTTCGTTCTCCTGCGTAACACTCACAACCACCCAACATATGATGGATTTCACTCGGGTGTGTGTTCCTTGTCAATGGGACGTAAGTGCCACAGGTCTGAAATTTTTGGCCTCTGTGTGGCTGCATCCCCAGTAGTGCCAGGCTCATCCTATGTTCTTGATAAATATCGCTGAATGAATGAAACAGACCTGATCGATGCCCAGCAAAGCTGAGAGCAAGTCACTCTACTTCCCACCGTGACATCCCCATCAAACCAAGATAACGAGGCCTTTGGTCACAAGTGCTACCATTGTGTACGTAGGACCTCGCAATGCTTCGTCGGCATTATCCCATTGGCTCTCAAAACAACGCTGTAAGTGTCCACTTGGTAGGTGAACCTCACTGAGGCTCAGGAAGGTTAAGTGACTTGTCTGAATGACACAGCAGGTAAGTGGCAGAGCCAGGGTTCCAAGTCAGGCCTGTGGGGCCCCAAACCCCAAGAACTTAACCATGTTGTCGTACACAACAGGCACCAAAGACCGAACGTGCCGTGGGTGTGAAGGTGCTCTCTGACTCACATGAGTGTGAAGAATCATTATTGCCTTGCAGAATAATTTTTCCTACAGAGCCTCTCAACCTGGTCTGCACCCCTCTCCTCCCTGACCCGCATATGGCCTGCGCTCTGCTGTTCTTCTGGGCTCGCCCTGGAGACCCTCCCCTCACCAGAACTCCAGGGGTTTAATGCACCCCGCTGCCCTGACTACATTTTGCATTTTTAAGGAGTCTGTGCAGGTCTACCCTCAGCCAAAGGTTGGAAACTTGGGCAATTAGGTCATTTGGAGAAAATTTCAGAGATGGGAGGGAGGATGATTGCAGCACTGAGTTCTTGTTCATCATCTCCTTGGACCAAGCATTGGCTCCTCTATGACTTTCACCAGGAACTCACTCTTCTGTGCTGGCAAGAAAGTGCATATCCGTGGGCACAGTTGGCAGGCCTTTGGCCAGTGCAGCAGCTAGGAGAAGAAAACATGATGGCTTTAGTGTCATGTAACTGGGGCGGGAGTGTGCCCACTCTTCTGTGGGCAGCCGAGAGGGCGTCTTCAGGCTCCGTGCTCTGCCAAGGGTCCCCTACTATTCATTCAGTCAAATAAACAAATATGTCACTCAACACTCCGTCTTCCTGTCCCACCCATCTCTGTTTGGAGATGACCCCAGGGCTGTGGGCAGGGAATTAGCTGCAAGACTGCTTGACAGTTCATAACTCAAGCCTAGGCTTACCCAAGCAGCCACTGCCGAAGAGATGTTAGGGAAGGACTAGCTATGAGTGGTAATGGATCAGCGATGGGATGGGTGACCCCAATCTCCCGTTCACTCAGTCAACAAGTATTTACTGAGCACCTACTATGTGCTATTGACTATGAGCTTGAGGTACCCAGTAAACAATATACAACGAGGCCTCTGTCCCCATGCAGTTTATGTTCTGGAAAGGGAGACAGACGATAAACACATAAAGAAAAATTCAGGCAGTGATGAAAGTGATGGAGGACATAAAACTGGGCCATGTGATGGAAAATAACTGCAGAGTGGGGAGGGGGAGCAGGTGGCTTGCTGTCATCAGGTCAACAGAAAGACACCATGTGCTGGTGGCATTTGATCTGAGGCCTCAAGCATAAAGAAGAACTAGTCACATGAACAGCCTTGAAAAGAGAGTTTCAGGAAACAGGAACGGTAAGTGCAAAGGCCCTGGGGTAAGAAGCTTAGCAGAACTGAGGAACCATGAGGAGGCCGGTGTGCCGGGAGGGCAGTGAGGAGGGGAGGCCTAGGGCAGCCAGGGAGTGGGAGTGGTGTCGGCAGAGGTCGACAGAAGTCAGAAGGTAACTCAAGGATGGCGAACCCTTGCAGGATTTAGAGCCCAAGATGGACATTGTGTGATTGACATTTTGCGAACATTTCTGGGTCTGGTAGGGAGAATGGGCCATAGAGGGGCAAAAATGGAAGCTGAGAAACCAGTTCCAAATCTGTTGTGTTTTCCAGATCAGATGAGGATGACTGCACTGCGCTAGAGGCCAGAGATGCGAGAGCGACCAGGGCCAGAACATAGTCATATAAACCCTGGCTGGGCACTCCATCAATAATGTCACTGAGTGACAAGACATGACAAGACATGTCCTTGTGGAACTTACCTTCTGGTGAGGTAGACAGACTAGAAACAAATAATATACCGTATGTCAGATGGCAATGAGGGTTACGGAGGAAAATTAAGCAGGAAAGCAGACCAGGGTGCTTGGGTGGGACAACTTTTTCAAAGGATGGTCAAAAGTCTGACTGAGAAGGAAACATCGAACGGAGACCTGAAGAAGGTGAGAGGGTGAACCATGCAAACCTCTGAGGAAATGGAGAGCAGGTGCAAAGGCCCTGAGGTGAGAGAGTGATAGTGTGTCTAGAGGCACAAGGGAGACGAGTGGGGCTGGAGAGCCCTGAGGGAGAAGGAGAGGAGTGGGGGTAAGATGAGAGAAGCAGCAGCGGGCGGGGTGGCAGGAAGTGGGCTGGACCACAGGAGGGGGCGGGGCTTGGGGGTTACAGCAAAACCTTTGGCTTCTCCTCTGTGTCAGGTGAGAGCAAAGGCAGGGGAGTGGTTGAGTAGATGAGTCAGGATAGGATCTGACTTTATTTTTTAAAGTATCCCTTGCTTGATAGGTCAGCCTCCCTGGGAACCTATGATAGCATTCTGAAGACAAGACAAATTGAAGGAATTAAAATTTCCTGCACTGGAATCATCACCAAGGGCAAAAGAACCCATCCCTGGGCATTGAGTGTGTGACTGGCAGCTGGACATGAGGGTTCTCGGTTCAAATCACAGCTCCATCGTTGACTGTGTGATCTTAGACCAGTGGCTCCCAACCATGGCCGGTTCTCCCTCCCATGGACGTTGGGCGATACCAGGGCACGTTTTTGGCTGTCACAATGGGGACACAGAGTGTGCTGCTGTCATGTAGTGGGTGGAGGCCAGGGATGCTGCTAAATATCCTGCAATGCACAAGTCAACCCCCCACAAAGAAGAATTATCCAGCCAAACATGTCAATAGTTTAGAGAAACCCTGGTTTAGATAAATCTGTTAATCCTTCTGTACTTCGATTCTTTAACGCATGAAATGGAAGTAGTAATTTTCCTAGGGTTCTCAGGGGGGTTAAGGAGTTGCCTCATTTGCTCTAGATTGAATGTTTGCATCCTCCCAAAACTGGGTATGAGGAAATCTCATCCCTAATGGGATAGTATTAGGCAGTGGGGCTTTGGAAGGTAATTAGGTCATAAGGGTGAAGCCCTCATGAACGGGGAGAGTGTCCTTATGAAAGAGACCCCACAGAGCCCTCTTGCCCCTCAGCTGTGTGAGGACACAGCAGGAAGACAGCCATCTGTGAGCCAGGAAGTGGGATCTCAGTCGACACCAAATTTGCTGGCTCCTTGACCTTGACCTTCCAACCTCTAGAACTGTGAGAAATAAAAACCTGGTCTATGGGGTCTTTGTTACAGCAATTTAATGGACTAACATACCATTTAAAGTAGGGACTGGCAAACTTCTTCTGTAACAGGCCAGAGAGTAAATCTTTTAAGTTTTAGAGGCCTTATGGTCTCTGGTTAACTATCCAACTCCGCCATGATATCATGGAAGCAGCTAAAGACAATACGTAAACAAACAATAAACATGGCTACACCTTTATTTTGGGGCACTGCAATTTGAATTTCATATAATTTTCCCATGTCCCAAGCATTCTTCTTCTGATTTATTTCAACCATTTAAAATATATGTAAATTATCCTTAACTCACACCAAACAGGTGCTGGGCTGGATTTGGTGGGCCAAAGCTCGCCAGGCTGTGATTCACAGAATTTCACAGGAATCTGAGCGCCCTCAAGGATGTAGTTGGTGTGGGTTACTCTTGAGAGAGAGTATCAGGATGGCCCCAATGCCTGGAAGTGGTCTGACTCAAACACACTGTGTTGTTCTCTTGTTGGACCGAAATGATCTTACACATCACTGACCTCAGACAAAGCCACTCTGAGACCGATGGACCAAGGTGAGGACACTAGCGTTGTCTTAGCACAAAGCCACTTGCCTCCTAGAAAATACTGAGCACCCCCATGCTTGCGAAATGAATGGCTGCTACTTCCTTACCCGATTTCTGACGGCGCCCAATCTAGAGCAATCCCTTCTTCCTTAGATCCCCCTCCACACGACCCGACAAGAGCCTGAGTCCTAGGATAGGTCCTTTCTCACAGCCTCCGCCTGAGGTGAGCGAGCCTGCCCTGGCGTGTGTGCTCTTCCTCACTGTGGCAAACTGGGGACGCGTTTCTGGGATCCGTGGCCTTGTGGACTGGGAAGGTGGGGCTAAGGCTCCAGCCCCCACTCTTTCCCTGTTGCACCCAGGGACCTGGGGAAGTCAGCCTTCTGCTCTCCACTCTGGGCTGCCCCTTTCCCGTTTGTATCACGAGGGAGCAGGATTCCTTGCTGGCTGCCTGCGTTTTGTTGACTGTGCCCGCGGCTGGCCCTGCTGACCACCAGCCAGGGTCTGAAGGCTAAACGCAGGCCAGTTCACCCGGGGCCAAGGGGATGCAGGCCTAAGGGTTCCTGTGGTGGGAATACACATCCACGTGCAATGCACACAGGCAGGGGCCAGGGCACTGAAGCGGGAGGCATTAATAGGACACCAATGTTAGAGGCAAAGGTCGCTCCCCAGGGGATGACTAGACAGGAAGAACTCTGAGCCAGTGACCCCCACTCAGCCCCCTACCCATTGCTAGCTCACTGTGTCCCCTTCCCTCCACAGCCCCAGGTAAATGGGAGCATTTTCTGAGAATGCCCAGGTCCCCACCCTGGAACTTCTGGTTCAGAGGCTCTGGGGCCTCAGTATTGTCGAAAAGCCTCGCAGGTGATTCTCTTGGAAAGCTCTGGGATGAGAACCGCTCCCCGGAAGGTACAGATTGGGAAACTGAGGCCCCCAAGGCTGCCCACACCCTCCGAGGGGGCATGTGTTCCCCAGTGGACCTCAGTCCCCACCGGCCCCTATCGCTCATCCATGCACCATGGTTGCTGCCAACATCTGAGCTGAGGCACTGTGAACATGTGAACGGCAGTGAAGGAACTGGTCTATTCAATTCTTAATTTCACACATTTATTGAACACCTACTATGTGCCAGACGCTGTGCTAGGGGGACGAGACCACAGCAATGACAGAGATAGACACAAACCCCTCTGCAGCCTGGAGTCTACAAGGAGACAGAGAAACAAATCCCTCTCAAGCAGGAGGCATAGGAAACTTCAAGGGCGAATCACAGTGTGGGGTTTATTACTGGCTTCTCTCAACTCCTGGAAGCCTTATCATGGTTTTTACACAACAGCCACACACTAACTGACCTCTTCCTAGGTCCCCGGTTTTCATTTCTCATGTAAGTTTCACGATATGTGTGAAATGGGAGGGGTCGTCCTCACTTTATAGTTGAGGAAAGAGCCCCTACTCCTGGCCTCATAAATGAAGCACGAAGGGGGAGGGCAATGCTTAACCCAGGCTCAAACTGGCTTTCTGAATGCGAGCCCCTTGGACACTCCTAAAGGAAAGGCATGGGTGGCAAGAAAGGAGGGCAGAGCTTGGATTCAAAAGCCAGGCGGGCCCCTTACAGGCTGAGGGACATTGAGCAAATGCGTCACCACTCTGAGTAGCAGTTTCCTCCTCTGCCAAATGGGCGCCAGGAGAGGGCCGCCCCTGCAGGGTAGTGGAGGACTGAATGAGAACACGCGGGTAGAAGGACAGTGAAGAAGCCACCGCGCCCCCCGCCCCAGGACCCTTCAGTCCCCAAGGCAGTGCTAGGAGCAAGGCTGGGTAAAGGAGCTGCCCTCCCACGCAGCGGACCCCTGGGGACTTGCCCAGAGAGCCCCACCCTGCCCCAGGCAATGTCTCGGTGCTTAGGAGCACAGGCTCCAGGTTCAGGCAGAGCTCAGTAGCTAACGTACCATGTTACAAACCATTCTGCCTCTGAACCCCAGTCTCCTCATCTGTAAGATGGGGATCGTTAGGATTAAACGAGCTAATGGGAATGAAAAATTTAGCACAGTGTCTTTAGAAAACTGAAAGCGCGTCATCATTGTTGTTGTCACTGTGGCTGTCCCTCGTGGACTTAAAGCCCCGGAGCCCCCTCACCCCAGACTTGGCTCGCCAACAGCGCCTCCATTCCCTCCACCCCTGTCCTCACCTCACCCCACAGAGCACAGGAACTGGGTGAAAGGGAGCATCTCCCTTTGCCCTGGAATTAGCTTTGTTTTAAGGTCTCAGGGCCGATCATTAACCAATCTTGGCTGTCTGATTCTACCACCCACGAAGGCAGGTGGCTGCCCCGACCTCCCAGGGTCTCCTACATACTGACACCCTGCAGCATAAGAGAGAAGACTGAACCGCACTCTGTGCCCAGCATCGTGTGTGACCTTGGGCAACCCTTCCTGGGTGTCAGACTTTTTCTTTATAATAAGGGACTTGGCTTTCAAACTTTTTTTTGGCAGGGGGCACTAGACTCAGAAAAGATCTTGTGTTGGAGGCAGAATAATAGAGGGTAAGAGCACAGGGTCTGAAGTCAGCCTGTGTGGCTTCAAACCTTAAGATGCTTTATCTTCTTTTACTGCTTGTACAGAGAGGGAAGGGGAGGGAGAGAGAGATGAGACTCAGCTTCCACCCTCTGACCGGGGTCAATGCAGGCTGCATCTCACTCAGAAGTGAGACCTTAAGAAGTGTCTTTGCGTAAAATAAGCACTCAGCACACATCTGTTTGTTACTTGGAAGCTCAGTGGGTAAAACAGATAAAGTAGCGGCAGCTGGAGTTGAAGTGGGAGAAGGAGTGAAGCCTTCACTGTTTACCAGGCAGCTCTCTTGGATCCTAAAAACTTGGGGAAAACAGTTTGAGGACCAACGAAGCAGATACTACAAAGTAGGGATCCACAAACTATTGCCCTTGGGCTGTATCCAGCCCAGAGCATGCCAGCTAGAATCTTGCTAACATTTCAAAATGGCTGGAAAAAAATTGGTGGAAGAATATTGCATGATGTAAAAATGGTACACGACTTTAATTTCAGCACCCATGAATAAAGTTTTATTGCAACACATCCACGCACATTCGTTTATGCATTGTGTATGGATGCTTTCTGTCTGCAAGGGCAGAGTTGATTGGTGGTGACAGAGGGGCTGGCAAAGCCTAAAATAACTATCTGGTCATTTGCAGAAAATGTTTGCCCACCCTGGCCCTAGAGCACCTCTTTCCTTCCACATGGAAGCCTTTGACCTTGCCTAGATCCTGGCTCTGCTACATTACCCACAATGCAGTTGATTCTGGACATACCACTTCACCTCCCTGACCTCATCTATAAAGTACTTACAATCATTTCTAGATTTCAGGGCTGCTATGGAAATAAAACAAGCAGGACCCCTCATTGCATGACGGGGAAATAACCTTACCACAGTACATGAGATTAATATAGATGGGACACGGGTCAATATTTATATTCTCAACAGATATATATTTATTATCATGCATATGAGAAAGAACATAACTAGCACACAAAAACTCACGGTGTCATGGATAATGGTTGTTGTGTTAGTTGGGGCAACAATCCAGAGGTTCTGGGATGGATCTGCCATCCCTCTCTCAACAAGTGACTTCCATCTTTGGGTGCCAGAGCGTCTTTCGCTCCCACCGTCACATTTGTTCCTATTGGCTAAACCTAGTCACGTGACCACATCTAATTGCAAGGGAGGCTGGGAAATTCAGCCTTTTCTCTGCCCAGCTATGTGCCCAGGTGGGGGTTCTATTACTAAAAGAACAAAGGAAGAATCGATACTAGGTATAAATTTACAATCTATACCCACATATGTACCAGTGTTTGAGCTTCCTGCTGGAAGATATTTATGTAAATAAAAAAAAGATGTTTTAATGCAGACAGGATGTGGCAGCCATTTTGCAACCATGTTGGAAAGACCAAGGGAATCACAGAGATGTCAATGAAGAGTCCTGATGTCTTTGTGCCTCTGAATTGATCCCGGAACTGCCTTTCTCTGACTTCTTGATATTTGAGGAAACTAAATCCTTTAAGCCACCTGCAGACAGGTATTCTTTTACCTGCAGCCAAAAGAATTCTCACTGATTGCAGCTGGTTTCATGGGTAAGAAACCCATGGGTAAGAAGTCTGGAGCCAGACTGCCAGGGTGCAAAGTCAGGCTCAGTCGTGTGCCTGCTGTGTGACCTGGGGAAGTCACTTTTCCTCTCTGAGCCTCTCAGTTAACCATCTAAAAACATGGTCGCTACTTGTGTTTTGTTTTATTTAGAATAGTTTCAGAGGTTGGAGTGAATCCAACCCCGTCAGTTCTCGCTATTTGTTGCACGAGGCCTTTCTTCTATTGTATCTATTTATTCAGCCCCTTTATCTCCATTTCTCATTCCCGTCAAGCACGACCACTCTGATGTGTTTGTACTGTGTAGCTCTTCATTTGTTCACGTTCCAGCAAAATGTTTTGTCATCATGTGTATTTTAATTTACATAATGGAGATATAGTCTAGCTTTCCTTCTGGCTTTTAAAAAAATCACAACTGTTTTATGAGATTCATTTTCATAATTATTTGCTCCTAAAAGCAGCACAGCGCTCCACAGTGTGCGCCCACCACACCTCCCCTTCCCTTTCCCTAGTGATCACCTCCATGTGGCTACCAACTCGCCGCCACGGAGAACGCTGCAGTGAGCATCGTTGCCTGTGTCCCCTCATGGCCCTGCGCCAGAATCCCGGTAGCATTTGCATTCAGGTGCAAAACCGCTGAGTTACAGGGCATGTGCACATTGAATCTGATCACATATTTGCAGAACACCCATAAGAAATGCAGACTCAGGTTCCCCTCTCTCTAGCAGTGCCCGGAGTTCCAACAGCCCCCATTCTTGCCAACACTTGGCATTATCCAGCTTTCTCATTGTTTCCTATTGTTGTTTCAATTTGCATTTCTCTGGGCATTAGTGATTTTGAGCATCTCTTCAAGTGCTTTAAAACAAGGTTTAATTCTAATACCTATTACATAAGACTGTTTTGAAAGGTGGAGATAATGTATGGAAAGTATTTAACTGCATCATACATAGTAAATCCTCAATAAATGCAATTTTTAAAGTACTATGGTTTGACTTAGTTAATTTTCAGTTATTCTTATTACTATTAAAATACTTGGCACATAGTAGGTGTTCAGTAAGTGTATTCCCTTTACCTTCCCCGACAACCTTTGGACGTTCGCACCCCCAACCCTCCACCTTGCTGGGGTTGGTGCCCCGTCGCTTCCCCAGCCTCACCTGCGTTCTCTTCACTCTCCCAGTTGAGGTCCTTCTGAGTCTCCTTCTGGCCAAAGAGATTCTTCAGGATGGCGATGGCGATGGGCAGCATCATGGTGGTGGAGGCGGTGTTGCTCAGCCACATGGACAGGAAGGAGGTGGTCACCATCATTCCAAGGATGAGCCTGGGAATGGAGGGAGTGAGAGGTGGCTCTGGAACTGGGGCCCAGGAGGTCCCCTGGTCTGAGTTGGCCTCCCCTGAAGCACACGGCCCACTCATTTTTACAGATGGTCCCCACGGCAGGGCATGGTGGCCATGATACCCAGAGCCTCCAGCACCTCACCCAAAGGGCTCTCCCAGCCCCCCTTCCCCTCCCCCCTCCCCCCCCACTGCTCAGGCTCTGCCCACCAGGACTCTTCAACTGCTCACACCCGGCCCTCATTCATCCCCTGCTGCCCTCCCTTTGCTTGGCCCCGCCCACTACCAGGAACTGAAGTTTCATGATCTTTGTTCTTTACATTCAACTTTTAACCTCCTGGCCATTTGTTTAGATTTGTAGTCAGAAGTCAGCTCCGAAGTGGATCTTGTTTCAAAGGCTCAGCTAATTATTTCAACCCCCACCATTTACTGAGACATCCTTCCCTTCCCCATAGATTCAGGTCTCTTCTAGCTTATTTATTCAGTGTTTTCCATCTGTTTCTGAACTATCGCCATCGTATTTTCATCGTGGAAATTTGAAACATGTTCGCCAGCAGCCCCATCCATTCTTCAAGGTCAAATGTAGGGCGTCTCCATGACGTCACCCCCTGCCTCTCACGTGGGCTCCTCTGGCAGGTGTGCCCTTTGGGTATCAAGGTGTGTCCTTTGGGTATCAAGGCTGTAGATGGAATCTCTCCCCAGACTTCCGGTTCCTCCATGAGCAAACACAGCTTCCGAGCCTAGCAGAGTGCTTGGCCCAGGGCAGATGCTAAAAAACCTAAAAGTTATTCACAACCTTCTTCTCCCTCGTCCCTTCCCTCACCCCCACCCTAACCCCCATCACGAAAAAGCTCTCAAATTCTGTCCACCTCCCCTGCCACCACCGTCATCCTAGCTGTTAGCACCTCTGGTCTGGACACCCAGAACAGTCCCCTGACTGGGCTGCATGCAGCATCTCTCTGCCCTTCTGCTTGCCATGTGGCAGCCAAGAGGAATTTTTAAAAAATGCAGACCTCCTCACGTCACTCCCCAGTTTAGAACTGAAAACAGGAGGGATCAGAGTTTCACACCCAGGGCACCGTCACGAATATCTTTCAGGATGGAAAGGGAGGAGAGAAATACATCTTTATTTTACTAACATCTGATAGAAATGACTTCCTTCTGTGATAAACATAGTCCATTAAGTTCAGAGGCGTCAGAAGTGCCAGGGACCTGGTCACCAATTATTGAAAGATCACAGATATGCTCATATTGCCTTGTGTGTCGTAGGTAGGGACATCTTGGCATATCACTGACCCTCAAAACCGTCTCGGAACTGCAGTTGTTGGGAGGCCGGTTGCTACACCCCATCATTTACTGGAGAGGGGCAGATGTGGTGTTACGCCATGGACTTGTGTGTTTTAAAAAATTATTCGAATGACTGCGTTTTGCTGTGATTATTGTGGCTGTTGTTTTAAAGTCCATGTGCTGTGCTTTATAATTTAAAAACATTATTCCGGGCACTGGCCAGTGTCGCTCAGTTGGTTGGGCATTGTCCAGCAAACCGAAAGGTTGCCGGTTCGATTCCCTGTCAAGGCAACATGCCTGGGTTGCAGATTCGGTCCCTGATTGGAGTGCGTGATCAATGTTTCTCTCTCACATTGATGTTTTTCTCCCTCTCTGTCTCCCTCCCTTCCCCTTTCTCTGGAACCAATAAAAGGGGGGAAAAAACACTCCAGGAAGGAATCCTTAAGATTCACCAAATTGAAGAAAAATGAAAAAGAAAAAACATGGAATGATCCTATTTAAGAGACCATTCATCCCTCTCATAATAAAAGTTCGAATCCTAGCCAGGGGCCCGAGGCCCTGCGGGAATGGACCCCACCTTCTGTCTCTCTGAGGCCATTTCTGCCCCCTCCTCGCCCACCCTGTCACTGGGCTGGTAAACAGCAAACCAGGGTGACGGTGGCGGCCGGCATTAGCCGTGCAGGTCCAGGCTATGATTTCGCCATTTTACAGAAAGTCATTGCTGTAAGTGACTTTACAGAAATGGGTAGGTGGAATCCAGCCCCAAGTAGTCGTACTGCTGCGTGGCCGCTTCTAACACGAATGGACACGAATCCCTGAGGGTGGGGGCTGGGAATCAGCATTTCAACCACAGTCCCAGTGATTCCTACACACTCTAGAGACTCCCGCCCCAAGAGCCCAGCACTGCGCCTGGTGCACAGAGGGGTCTCGATAGATACGTGAGGACTAATGAAGTACGTGGAAGGCGGGACTCGATGAGTCTGTTGGCCTGGGTGAGTACCGAGCCAGAGTGAATGTGGGCTCCGAGAGATGGGACCCCTCTGCCCCCCGACCTTGGGGCTGGACCCGTTACCTGGCCTTACCAGGCCGGCTGGACCCCAACGATCATCAGGATCTTGAGGGCGATTCTCCGGTGCAGGTTCCATTCCTCGATGGCGGTGGCCATGATCAGACCGCTGAGGAAGAGGAAGTTGGTGTCCAGAAAGTACTGGGGGCAGACCACGCTGGACCGCAGGATGCCCAGGAGGGGGAAGAGGGTGATGGGCAGCAGGGCCGTCACCGAGAGCGGCAGGGCCTCCGTGCACCAGTACACGGCCATGAGCAGGATGACAAACAGACAGCGGCCTTCCTGCGGGAGGGGAGACGCGGGCTCAGCAGGGTCGGCAGAGCACAGGTTAGCAGAGCGCAGGGTGGCGGAGGGAGAAGAGGTCCCGGAGCAGGACCCGGTGCGGCACATGGGGAGGCAGGAGACAGGCAAAGGGCCCACAGCTCTGACCTCAAGCCGGTGGCGCCCACCTGGCTGAGCCTCATGTTGCTGGAGTATAAAATAGGGAAGCTCTACCTATCGGATGTACAAGACTGTTTGAGGAGGGTATGAAATACCCCATTGTCTTAGGAGGAGACCCTGAGACAAGCATGAGAATGAATGGAAACAGTTTACTTAGTAGGGGATCCCAGAAAGTTCTATAAGGGCAGCGGGGAAGTGAAACTGTTGGTCGCTGGGGTCGCTCCTGATGGGGACCCTGGGAGACGGTGTAGATAATGCCTCAGAAGCTGAGCCATTGATCTGCCGATCCCCTGGCCATCACCAGTGGCGGGCTGCTCCCGGAAGCACTGGCTGCCCCGCCCTTCCAGCCTCCCCCGAGTGCAGCCAGAGAACCACAAGCATCTCAGCAGCAATGAGCAGCTCCTGGTGTGTGCGGAACGGGGGGTGCCAGTGGGGGTGCGGAGGGAGCACCAGAAGCAACTGCCACATCAATGCCCCGCACGCAGCACGAGGCCCGACACTTGGCACACACGCTATAAATAATAGTGATGAGTACTTTACCGTGCCTGGCTGGTGGGAATATAAATGGTACGGCTGCTATGGAAAACAGTATGGCGGCTCCTCAAGAATTTAAATAGAATTACCGCATGGCCCAGCATTTCCACTGCTCGGGATCCGCCCCAGAGAACTGGAAGCAGGATCTCAAAGAGGATTTGAATACCCGTGGTCATGGCAGCCTTGCGCACAAACGCTAAAACATGGAAGCAACCCAGTGTCCACTGACAGATGGACAGGAAAAAATGGGACACACATACCCCGTGGAGTATTATTCAGCCTTAAAAAGGAGGGTCGTTCTGACACATTGGGACAACAGGGATGAACCTTGAAGACAGTGTGTTGAGTGAAATAAGCCAGTCACAGAAAGATGAAGATCGCACACCTTTTGAGGCGCCTGGAGTAGTCAGACTCATAGACAGAACGCTGAGGGCAGAAGGCAGAGTCCCAAGGTCTCCAGACCCTGTTCCTTTGAATTTTAACTTCTGGAGTTCGAAGGTTGGGGAGGTGTCTGACTGGACAGGCTCCCTTTCTGGGTCACCTCAGAGTCAGCACTTGGCCTCCTGGCCACTTGCCCTGTCCAGAGCTTTGGTTTCAAGAAGGTGGCCCAGGGCAGGTGGAGTCCTGGCTGCATGTGAGACATCTCCCAACACCCCCGGATGGTCCCCTTGGCCAGGAGAAGCTGGTGCGACTCAGTGGAAACCTCCAGGGGTGGAGGGGGCTGAAGGAGACTGTACCCGAGAAGACAGGAGCCAGAAAAGCAAGAACCCTGGTCCTAATTTTATTTTATTTTTTATTTTTATTCTAGTTTTTCATCCTCACCTGAGGACATGCTTATTGATCTTAGAGAGAGGAGGTGGGAGGGAGAGAGAGAGGTAGAGAAACATCAATATGAGAGAGAAACATGGATCAGTTGCCTCTCATATGCGCCCTGACCAGGGACCAAACCCACAATCTGGGCACGCGCCCCTTTGGTTTACGGGATGACACTCCCACCGACTGAGCCCAGTCCTAATTTGAAAGCCTGGTCCCAGATGCCAGATCTGGGGAGAGCCCGAGGTGGGTGGGGTTCAGTGATGGCTGAAATGGAAGGGGAAAGAAATTCCTAGAGCCGAGCTATCCACATGCAGCAGCTTCAGGCCACAGGGGGCCCTTTAAGTTTAAACTCATTCTGGTTAAATGAAATTAAGGATTTTGGTTTCTCAGTCACACGAGCCGCCGTCCAAGTGCTCAGTAGCCACAGGAGACTTGTGTCTACAGTCCTGGAGAGAGGGTATACGGCACTTCCGTCACTGAAAGTTCGGTCAGCTAGAGCTGCTCCAGAGAGTTCGGACCTCAGGGCCTGGGAGCCTGGGCATAATGGTTTGGCTGCTGAATTTCTGTGGCAAGTCACTGAACCGTCTGAGCCTGCGTTAGTTCGACTGCAAATTAGGTATAATAATCTGGGGGATATGTACATCACAGGGGATCCCACTGAAATCCTTTCTTTAGTTTTTCTGATATTTCATGGAGAAATATCTGCTCAGTGGTTGTTCCAACATCATAACACAATTGTTCAGTATTTATTTTTTACGTTTTATTTGTCGTCCCCTTTCTTCTTATTTCTCACACTGTCTTGTTGTGGTTCCCACACTGACCATTCAGCACAGGATTGGGGCCACTCTTTCAGGTCAGTTCTTTGTTACAGGCAAGTGTGGGGAAGGGGTTGGGAGGGGACTGGCCGGCAGGTGTCTGAGCAACCGCACTGTTGGTGATCTCGGAGTCATGGGTCGCCATCGCTACCCTGAAATGTGTCTCTGCTCTAAGCATTAGGCAAGCTGTGGAGACTCAGTGTGAAGGCCCAAGAATGTCACAGTTTGTTGGTGTCTCTTTCAGCTTTTATGTCTCTTTGACTGACAGAGAGAGAAAATTAGAACAATCACAACAATTTAGCTGATCATTATCCAACCCCTGCTCCCACCCGACTTCCAATACCCTGCTTCTCACCAGAGGCCTTCCAGCCCCCTCATCCAGTCCTTCCGAACTCCATCCTGTCACTTGTGTCTCGGTGACTGTCCCTTCCCCCTGCGTATTCTCCAGGCTTTGCCAGGGCTAGGAAGAGCTCCTAGGGCTGAAGAACATTTCCGAAGAAGTTTGTGTCCTGCCTGGGGGCTACAGAGGCCTGTACGACTGGCTTTTGGTTTCCTTCTGCCCTTTGGTTCAAATCCCGTTGCCTCCTCTTCACACACCGGGGGCAGGGCCGTGGTCTGCCCTTCTCTTCAAAGATGACATTCTCTTCTCCTGTCGTTACTTTTGGGGGTTATTTGCAGAAAGGTGGGTGGTTTCTACCAGCTGAAACCGGAAGTTCTTCCACCTAGTAGTTTTGTCCTTGGAAGCACCGTACTTCCTTTCATTTATCTGCATTTTCTAATCTTTCTGTGATAAACATGTACAGTAGAAGGAGCATGGACTTTGGAACCAGCCAAGCCTTCCACACTCTGGCTGTGTGATCCTGGGCCAGTTACTGAATGCGCTCAGCCTCGGTTTCCCTACTTGCTGCGGGCGCATGATAATGGTACCTACCTCGGGGAGTGATTTACTCAACATAAGAGAACCACTGACCCAGTGACGGACACACGGGGATGCCCCATAAATAGGACTATCGGTGTGTTGGGAACATTATTCATAACCACATGTTCATGTTACTTTATTATTAATAATTCAAGCTCAATTTCTTAAAGTTGGGCTTCAAAAATACTTTTCTTAAAACTTAAAATAAAGTCTTAAAATATGACAGCCAGAATGGATGTGAAATCACTTAAACATTCTCAACAAGGAGTGGTTTTGTGCTACTGAACTCTTTGTAGGGTCCAGGACAGCCCTACAATGGAGAGTTATTCATTCCCAGTAATGTCAATGTCAATAGTGCCAATGCTGAGAAATCCCGGTCTAATCTAACCCTTCTTAGTACAATGGTCACCCAGAGAAGGAAAGTGGCTTGCCTGAGGTCACACAGCAAGTCAGAGGTAAGGACTTGTTTTACCTTATTTCCATGAAAGATCATGGGCTTTATCAGGGCTGAGACTGGGGTGAGGCTGGTGCACAACCCAGGTGGCGAGCCCAACTTGAACTTTGCTCCCTGGGTGCCTCACCTGGCTCACCCTAGTCCTGGCCCTGGCTGGGAGCAAGAGAGGGAGGTCCCCACAGTCCCTGAGCAGCCCTATTCATGCCAACCTAACACAGGCATTTCTTACAGGAAGGCTTATAATCCCCACCCCCATCACCGGTACCAAAGAAAGCTCAGCTCTCAGGTTTAGCCAACCCATTACCACAGGGATTAAAGTCTGCAGGCGAGAAACACGAGAGGCAGAGGGGGAGAAAGAGAATGCCAGGTCAGGCGGTTAATTTTTGAGCCGGGGGATGACTTCCAGGCAGACACAAGGCGGCTTTTTCCCGATTGCCCCAAGCTTGCCCTGCTGGCTCACTCAGGACAGAAAGGGCACTGGTCTGTTCTCTGAGTCCTGATGGGGAAACTTTACTCACCATCTTCCCCCACCCCCTCGCCGGGTCCTCCCTCCCCCCAGCTCCCTGGCATTTCAGGGCACTGGGCTGTGCCGAGGCTCGTGGCAGGCACCAGTGACTCTGTGCCAGGCCCTTTGGGGAGCAGGACTGGGGCCAGCTGCCACTACAGGCCTGTTCCCCAGTGGTGTCCAGGGCCCGGGCAATGGGAAGCCCTGAACTTTGAACTCTAGCAAGGCAGAAGCCATGGCTTAAACTTCCTCATATTCCCTGATCGCCCCCAGCCCAGGGACAGTATCACACAGCAGTCAGAGCTTCTGGAGTCGCCCCGGGCTTGAAGCATCGTGGCTCAGCCACCCATTACTGGGGTTGGGACCTGGGGCAGATGGCTTCCCTGCTCAGAGCCTCAGCGTGCTCACAGGTAATCGGGGAACGATGGCATCACAGAGTCACCACAGTGGTACAGCCCCCAGGAAGATGGCCAGCGCCGGAGAAGCAGGAGCTGCTGTGACCAGTGGACGGGAGGTGGGGGCTGGAATCCGGACCCGATGCCATGAAGCAGAGGTGCCTCTGAGTTAGTGCACTTGGCAGGCAGCACCAGAGTGCCTGCGTTCAAATCCTGCCTCCCTCGCTTCCCAGAGCAAGTGACTTCATTCTGTGCCTCAGTTTCCTCATCTGCAAAATGGGGATGATGTTAAGAATTCCAACCCCATAGAGCTATTGCGAGGATGAAATAAGTCAGTGCAGGTGAAGTGCTGGGAGCCATGCACAGTGGCGTAAGTGGCGTACACTCTAACCGTCACTTATGG